TAACTATAAAAACGGCGGCTTTGATCATTCAAAAGAACTTAGTATTCAATAAGAATAAGTGTATGTAAATTAAGGACATAAATAACATTAATAAATTAATCAAGAATTAAGTTTTACATAATAAATGAATATTGAAAAATCTTTACAAAGGCAAAGCCTTTATCTAAATACCTACCATTATCTAAATGCCTTTGATAGTACTTATAACTTGTTTATTTGAACGAAACATATTTGATTGCTTCGAAACTATGGCTTATAATTTTATCTTGGTTGAATGATTAGCATAGTATTCGTATGATCAATTTGCCTAGAGTACTAGGGTACTAGGTATAAGGTATAATAAACCATTTTGATGGAATAAATATACAACAATTTTACCTTATGACCAAGAAGGCCATGGTCAAGAGGCGATAGATTACGAGGAAAGTTGCAAACCTTCGTGTTTAGTTCTGGGCGGATATAATTTTATTTTAATAATAAAAAATAAAAAAAAATAATTAATTTATTACACCCGGGGACATAATATCTCAAAATACTGATCAACAATTATAATATCTAAGCGGTTTCATAGTTCAAATAAAGTAGGGTCAAGTAACACCGTTATCCCCAAATGCAAGTTACATTTAGTTAGCAACATTAGCAAACAGTCTAGCTGTTGTTAACTTATCGATATGCAAACATACACGATACGGGTAAGCAATTAGTGGGTCAGTTGAGTTAAAGCTAAGATGGGCTTAACGGTTTGAATTCCGGTTTTGAGGTTATAAAAACCCACGCATTTCCAAAAATTGCATACCTTGTGCATTACGGAAGGAGGTCTTTCACAGAATTTTGTGAATACATAATTATTTATTTAATAAGAATCAGGATCATTATACCCAATTCTTATCACTCTTATTTGATTATGTATCTAGTTGAAATATTTAGTTACATATTATAATCATCAGGTATGTCCTCACTACAGAGGCACAGACCTCAAAGCATGGTTGCCTATTTTATAACTCTAAACTAAATACGGCTCTAGAGGCTTAGCGATATTATATTCTGTATCTTCGATACTCAATACTGTGCGAAAATTTATTATATTAAAATAATTTCACTAATTAAATTACAAAAGGTTTTTCCGATTTTATTGTCATTAGCTTAAATTGGTACTTGTTTTGATTTAACGAACAAATATAAATTAACAAGTTAGAAAAAACAAATTCCAATCTACTGTTGATATTTGGTTTTTAAAATTAGTTGCAGAAGTTTATCCTTTTTGTACTTCACGTACCTACTACTGCGTGTACAATAAAATTAACCGCAAAGGTAGAATAGTTCGACCACAAGACAGGTGCTGCGTAAAAGTTGTTGAAACGTATAATATCTATACATGCATGTATCTAAACTTATGTACACACTCTCCAAAAGTTGCAGCCATAAATAAAAGATATAGCGGCGGATCACTTTGCGTAAACTACTTTCACTTTGATTTCTAAGACCAGCTGTATTACTCTTCCTACGTGTCAAACTGTTCAACACAATGAATATTCTTTAATCACTGATACTGATTTTTAATTATGTGCAGGAACATCATCATTTCTATAACGTCGGACCATGTTCCATACTTCATGCCGTTGCTTTTTCCAGAGCTAAACTAATCACAGATTTCTTTCTTTTCTTTTATGATGACAAAACGAAATATAATCCAAATGTAGACTATGATTTCTTTTTAAATTGAATTTTTGTGCTGCAAAAAGATACTACCTATCATGAGCATAATATTTAATTGTTATTTTATAAGCATATGGCTAATTATGTACTGCAGGGTAGTTTTCAACAACTCTCTTCTAAACATTATGGAGTAAATTGAGTTAATTTATTAGCTTGTTTCAACTATTGCGTGTAAACCGGTAATTACTAACAAGCAAGCCTCAAATATAAAGGGCAAGCGACTGGACAGATAACACGTATTGGATGGTATGTCCATTAACTAATGTTAACAAGTAAATTGGTTAAGTGGACCCTTATCTTGCCAGTTGTCACTAGTGAAACTACTTGACTCTAGAATAAATATGTAATAATATCAAAATAATATTTTAAAGTATGTATGTCTAACGTGAAACATGACAAATAAAAGTTTGGTTTGGCAAACTTTCATTTAAATAAGTATGCTATACATGTGTACAATTCGCTCGATCATCTATGAAAGCAATTTATTACATACTTTCAACTAGTTTTGTACAAATAAACTGTAATAAAAAATAAGAAAACTATATCATATTTCTAAGGGTTCTTTTGCAAACCATACGTTATATTTTTTTAGAAAAAAAAAATATTCCATTTGAATCATTCAAAATTTATCGGATGACTTTCCAATAGGCAAGGAAGTATCTAAATAATAAAGCTTCAGCGCAATATTCTTGGGACAGATCATAAAATGTAGTAAACAATTAATAAATTGAGATGAGAGAGCCCCTTTTAACTAAAACATGCGTTATTGTTTTATCTATTTTGTGCCAAGTGAGCTCCGTAGGACTATAAAAGAATACTCATTTACACATGGCTATCATGAGATTTTTAGAATCATGTCAAAAATAAGTGTATATTTTTTGGTCTATTTTGAAATTACATAATCGTTGTTTATTGTTTTTTTTTAATTTCCTAGTTAAAGTTACGTTTGTTATGTATAGTTTGTGGACTGAATAGTACTAAAGTAGAGTACTCGGATATCTTCATAATTATATATCAACATTTGATAAGCTCATTATAAATATGAAAAATAAAATACAATTCGCATCTTAAATAAAACACAGTTGAATTTTTAAAACTATCTTCATCCTAAAGTTTTTGTTATCATTACGTCTCAAGTGAATTGAATAACTTGCGATTTTGTTTAACAAAATATAATTTTTATCAAATCTTTGTAAGTAAGTGGACATATAAATGATAAGAATAACTAGGTAATAAAATATACGACAGTCAACGACATTTAGAACAAAACAAAGATAAACGCAACTTGTATGGAGCATTTTCGATATATGTACGAAGTTGTCACTTTTCAGTTCAATAACTTTCTAACATAAAAAATTATCAATATTCTGTGTGTGTGTTTTACAATGCTGTGAATGTAAAATTAATCAAATATAATAATAGAAAATTTAATAACTAAAATATAAAAATGGATTTATCTGTAAACCACAATCAGTATGGGAACAATAATACTATAAAATACCCATATAAAGGTGCAACCTTTTATATCAAGCCTCCATTATTAGATCGCTAGCTTAGCTTAAGATCCATCACGGAAGCGTTCACCCCATGTATAGAAGACACGTTACCGCCGACTTTACTTGGCTTCGCTTGCATCGATGGTAAGCAATTGAGTTAAATAAACGTTAATTTCCTGAAGTTTAGTCACGATCTTTACTCGATTTGATAGTATACCACTTAGGACCATACAAGGGTCTACATTAACGTAAGTTATTGTGTTATACGGTTATTAGTATTTTAATAAATAAAAACCATGATAATTATGACTCCAATGCGCTTAGAAAACTACGAAATCTTTTCCAGTTTTCAGACTATTGTAATGTAGTTTTTTTGGCGACTTTCATTTTAAGACCACATTTTGTAAAAGGTAAATTTCGCTATTTTCGCTTCATAATTGAGATATCCCTGATACAAGTATTAACTTTATAAATATTACACAAAAATATTTCTTGATTTCATTTGTCATATTTTGATTGGCATCATATACATGAAACGAATACTGTTCTTGTGTTGATAAATAAATAACGTTGTGGCATTTTTTAAAATATATATGTAGTAAGTATCGGTATATAAGTAAATTTTGTTTACATCGTGCTTTAATGATTTAATTCTTTAAGAAAACAACTTAAAAGTTCTAGTTTCGTTTTTTATATATGTTCACCGATCTTATTACTGTTGTAGCTGTTTTCTATATTCAGAAAACAGTTATTTTTTTTTGTCCCACCACATATCATGCTACTTCTAAACATCGATCAAGTATCAGAACATCATAACAGTAGGTACCCAATTAAAAGTTCAAGGTGAACTGCAATGATATGAGTAAAACATAAACCTTATAGGTAATATTCATTCATGGTCACCGAGATGGCATGATTCATTATGTAAATCGCTACGCTACTTACTACAGACTATTTTACGTTGACATTTTAAGAACTCTAAAAGGAATATGCGTCGGTATATTTTTCCATTTACGTTTACTGTAAATATAATTGTAATGAATCACAACCGCGTTAAATATGTTCTAGGAAATTCTTGTCATTATTTTTAAGAGTGACTTTTACGCTTTACACGAGTGAACTAATTTGTTTAAAAGTCACAAAGCTGAGGTCCGTTCTGGATGATGAATTTTATGAAAATTATTCATCGGTATTACAATTAAATATATCAATGGCTAGCCGGCTCAGAAAATGACGCCCATGACCCCGGATTCACCCTTGAATAAGCAGTCTCGTTTGTTCTATGTGTTTTCATTGGAGACAGTGGTTCTTGAAGGACCGAACAGTCTATTATCTTATTGTTTTCGTTGTAAATGAATTTACACTCGTACTAGTTGGCTGACTGATCGAGTGACAGTATTGGTTAACAAAATGAATTTCAATATACGGATGAATGTGTGCGTAATGGATGTTTATATTTTTAGGAATTTAGGATCAGTCACCATAGCAAATACTCTAAATAAATTCATTGTAATTTGACAAAAGCATTTTCAAATTTATAATTTTCATAATTATTAGCCGTTTTACCGCGAGTTCGCTTCCGTAAATTATGTATATTTGTCATTGTCATTATATTTGTGTTATGATATGAATCGATATCCAAATAAATAGTTCCCTAGAAGCACGCGGGTGAAGCCGCTGGCGGAAAGCATTTGAGTATAGATTTTTAGTTAGCGATTCATGTCTAACAGTCTACAGTATATAAAATATAAAATATATAAATACACCAAGTGGAAAAACAAGTCTTACCGAACAAAGCGACGGCGAATAAACACACATACTGGTAGTGCGCCATTCTTCGCTGCACGCAATCTGGAAGACAAGGTTGTTTTTTCATAGTACAGGAATAACATACTCTACAGAGCCTGGGAACACTGTAGTTTGATCCAGTGTGGATATCAAACTTTTGATGTTTTATAATAAGGTTTGTAATATATATTCTGATAATAAGAGTAAATGGTAAGTTTCCGTATTGTATAAATTACTCTATGATGGTTATTTTAAATAATATATCTTACATTTTTGCTATTTACATATAAAAGAATATTATGTTTATAAAAATAATAACACCAAGTTAAAGTCATTAATGTTATAAATATCTTATCTACCTTAATGTTTTTGATAACCGAATAACGTAAAGACCCAAAGAGACCGCAGGACGATAACGACTTAAAATTTAAAATAATTTACCTTCATGAACGAATAAATAGATTATATTTTTGTGTTAGCTTTTAATTTTGTTATGCACAATTTTGGAATTCAACGTTGCAAAAGGAGCACTTTCGAGACACTACTAGAGATAGAAACCTGTTAACTCTAAAAATACCTGAACTGGTCGGGTGCTGCGGCCACCACGGTTTAGCACTCGCGTTTTATCGAAAGTCCAGTTGTGTCACTTTTTGTTTTGGTCACACATGCGCGCGCGCAGGGCGGGAGCGGCGGTCAATACGCGGGCGTGCGCCACTCGCGGAGGTGGCCGGTATTCTGTCTGCGGTACTGTCTCGGCTCTGTGTTGAGAGCCGTGACCTCACTGGTGCAGGAAGTCTAGCTCGACACATGGATGCAGTGTTTTAAAGCCCTATTATGTTGTGTTTAAAATTGCATACAATTAATATAGGGTCGTTATAATTAGTAGTAATGATGAATATTGTCTATTACGCTTTGCAACGCATGTAGATTTTACGGTTATAGTAAATTTACAACAAAGGTCGTGATTTGATGGCGTAGTTGTCGTACCTATGCTAAGCCTTCCTTGCAAACACTGAATTTTGATCGTTTGATCTGAACAAACGAGAAAGTGTGACGAGAAAATTGGTGAAGTGCTTTTCTTTACAAAAGGTCAAGAGTGAGAGGTGAAAATCGTAAATTAATAAAAAAGTTAATTTGTGAATCGAATCGAACCTGGGATGTAGCGGGCGTGAAACCGTACTTGGCCTATTGTATCTATGACAAGGTTGGATAGTTGCTCTCACAGAAAAATAGGGACTGAATTAATCGACTTGGTTTCCATTGATATCATAACTTTTTACAGAATTGCGTTATGAGACTTGTGCATATTTGTACATGTTATGTTTTTGATGTGATCTTTAGGCTTTTAGTTTATTCCACAACAAAGTTACGGGGTGTCAAAAATTGCCCGAATGGCTTCGAGAAAAGGATGGTGCGGCCGTGCCGTTTTCACTTTTTTGCTGAACTGTGCCGGGGCATTTCTGCGCGCCCAGCTTACTTGTTTAATAGTGAAAACTATCTAGGCAACTGTATCACCAAATTGAATTGTATTCTTTATAGAATTGACTATGTGTGAGTCAATTCTATTGTTCCCCAAAGAATAAATAAATAAAAATAAATAACCATTATGTACCTACTCATGGCATTTCCCTGATTCATCATTTTAATAATACACCGAGATCAAATCACGATTTATTTGACATGACTCATCTAAATTGCTGTTCCGGTTTCATTGTGGTCTCGTTATTTCTTAATTCGACGGATTGTTCCTCAATGGTGATATTTAAAGAAAGGTTAACATCGAGCTTTTTTAGTGTCAAAAATATATTTAATTACACATGGTAACTTTCTAAATTCATTTATTTCAACTTAGGTACAATATCATGTATTGTAGACAAATTTAACATTTAGTAACTATATGTACTTACCATAGTTATAACATTTATGTAGTTATAACATGTAAAATTATTCTATAAAAAGAATTCTATAGGTAAGGTAGTCGCCGTAGTTTATTTATTACAAATTCTAGTCGTATATAATTATAAGACAAATAATACATAGTCATCGTTTTATTTAACAACTAGCTTTCGAAAAGCGGCTTCGCTCGCGGGGTCCATAGAGAAATGTTTAGTGGGATTAAAAATCGATGACAGAAAGACAAATTGAATAAACCGATATCGACTGTACATAATGTACGTGAATGTATTATAAACTAGTTTTCGCCAGTGGCTTCGCCCGCGTGGTCCCTAGGGAAATGTTTAGTGGGATGAAAAGTATCCTATTATTTAAGTCAGCTAATACTTTATCTGTATACCAAATTTCATAAAAATCCGTTCAGTATCCGGCGTGATTGACGGACAAACATCCAAACAAATAACCTTCACATTTTAAAATTAATAGGATATCATAGAAACATATATTGCGACAATATGATAAGAAAATTAGCCAAATGAAATTTTATACTTCATCGGATTGTAGATTTTTTAAAGATTCAGAAGAAGAAAAATTCTTAATTATATTGTTATATAACATGTTTTACAGAGTTCCCGCACGGAGCATATGTATTTTTAAACTTGTAATATCATGATGAAAAGTTATTTGTTTAAATAATTGTCTTATGAATTTCATAAATTATCAGCAGTGCAGCATTCTTATAAAAAACCTTTAATAAATTCAGTTCAATCAAATAAACCTACTTTAAAAGGCATCCATCAGAACTCTATGCAGTTACAGCGCTGTGCTCAACATCAAGTTGGAGGCTGTTTTTTTAATGGCACACTATACCTAGTAATCAGTTTTTTTGTCTCTACTAAAGCTTCTACTTCTGCTGTATCACCTGAGTGATGTTCTGAAAGGTATTAATCTTTACTTTATAAGTAAAAAACAATCTAAAGGAAAATAAGAAAAGGGTTACTCAAAACGTAATGACTTAAAAATTAAAAAAAATAATTAGCAATCCTTTCTAATATTCTCGCTCATGACTCACGTTATTTGTGAGCAAATTACACGTCTAGTCATAAGCGTATGTTCAGCAAGCGATTATGGGCCACAGACCAGTAAGATGGCGATTAAAAAAGGTTTAACTCTATGCGTGGTGGCAGAGTGGGGTCAATGAGTACGTGCGATTCGCACGGCATCGCTCCTGACTAGGGTAACCAAATGAAACTGGAACGATGAATTCCAGTGAAAATTTCAGGTAAGATTTGAACTCGTGTCTCACCTTCCAAATCGAGGTAGAGGCTACAAACATTTTCGGCTTTTCTTTAGCCGTGAAAGTTTATTTAAACAAATTACATATTATACACTGTCTCTGGTTAGATTAGGATCAAACAGGATTTACTGAGGTACACTGATAAAGTCGTTGTTTCTTTCAAGTATTTTTAAGATGAATGTAATGAAATATTGAATGTTAAAATAACTCCTTTGTAATTACGTGTGATATATTATGATACCCTTTTTTAAAATTTGTCGTAATTTTAAGTACAATCTTACGTGGTAGCTCAAAGTTAACTAAACATTACATTATGAGCTACCTAGTTGAATTCGAATTTAGTTACGTGGTAGACCCGTTGAATTCGATATGGTAACAACTTTTTTGCAGGACGAAGTGTTTTTATTTACCACAAGACCACTACGGTGAGCGAGTATATGATTCCTCCCACGTCCCCTCCCCCTCCCCTCTCTCAATCTCAATTTTCTTAACGATGGAAAGAGGCGGCGACATGTCGTCGCTTCCTATGTCGGTATGGTAACCCTACTCCGAACTCGCATAATGTTCGTGGCGGTGACCCCGCGTTCCGGAGTCATGATTCCCATCGGATATACTGAAAAAGGGTCGGAATTCGCAACACACTAATACCTGCAGTACAAAGCTATAGTTACGTTTTTGAAAATTAACTTGAGCACCTTCATAAATATTAGATATTTTTTTATCAGAAATGATTAATTGTGGAAATAAACCACACTACATCTGTAAAGAAATGTATTTACTTCGATCCTCTAGTATTATAGAAATAATATTTCTTTTTAAAATTTCAAAAGGTGAGGTTTTTATTTTATAACGGTCGTTATTCAAAATAGCAAAAATAATCAATATATTATTTTGTATTGGCAAAAAACTAATATCTGGTACAAAAGACTTAAACGAGTCACGTTATTAAGTATATCATTGGGAGTATTTTTAATAATTAATTGTATTTGGCGTAATCACATCGAATATTCTATGGTTTAGCAATAAACTTATACCTATTTAATACACAAACTTGATGCCAGTTCGAGAACTATCCAATCAAAGAAAATCATATATGAAAATATAAATATATTTTTTACAACTACTCGTTGTTTCATAATACTGTTAACTAAGGGCTAATGTTTGTGAAACCTTTCAATAAAAGTCATTAACTTGTGTTTAAATATTCCAACAATAGAAAATGTCCTTAAGAAATTTTTTATTTATAAAGTGTAACTAAGCGAATTAATAGAATTTATATTAATATCGTGATTGCGTATCGTAAACATTGCATAGGACATGAACTCTCCCACTCATAACCCCGAGGCCTCTAAAGCCGTTGTTACAATTACTGTTGTGTATTACTAATAATGTACCTATATAATGCCTACTTATAACAACTGTAATTTACTGCTGTCTCTTAGCCTGTGGGCGTTTGACAGTCGCCGTTCGGCTAAAACTTGATTACTGCAACACGCACACCACAGTTCCGTTATGATCTGATTTAGCAATATATTTTAGCATTAAGTCTGCCATTTGATGAAATAAATAATATTATTTACGTGTGGCGGTAAGTTTACTGTTGAAGAAAGCCTCTACGATCTTATTACAAATTTGTAATAAAGGGGATCGACAAGGCAGATTGATATGTAAATCAGAAATATTCATAAATAATAAAAATGTAATAGTCTAAGATTCCACTCCTTAAATCTGCAGTTATCTGTTTTTTTTATTATTAAATCTGCAGTTATCTGGTTTTTTTTATTTAATTTATTTTTTTATGATAGATCTAAGTGACATGTATTTTAAATGACATGTATTTTAAATGACATGTGTGGCTTGTAATATTTGCACGTCGTCCTGATGACAAAATATGCTGGGCATTTAAAAATTGTTAACAACTTATAAAACCATATTTCAGCAAATAAAGATTTTATTAGTATTATTATAAAGATAGTAGAATAGACTGCTCTTATTATTTATTTACCGTTTGGTCCTTTGGTCCCTTTGGTTCGAAACATCAATTAAACTAAATACAAACGTAAAGAAACCGTTTAAAAGTTGTTTCACTTATGGATAGTGCTCGTGGAAATATAAGAAATTAAAGTTTATTATTTTATCTATATTAGAAATCTGCCAAATGCGAGCTAGACTCACGCATTCCGTACCGAAAACGAGCAAAAAGTCACGTTTGTTGTAAGGGAGCCCCCTTAAATGTTTATTTTATTCTCTTTATTTGTATTCATTGTTATACCTATAGAGGAATTAGAAATATATCACCTGTGAAAATCTGAACTGTCTAACTATCACGGCTTATGAGATAGTCTGATGACAGCAATAAAAAATTCAATTTTTTAGTATTTGTTAAGCTTAGATGGACAGACAGACAGATAGCGAAGTTTTAGTAATAGGATTCCCGTTTTACCCTTTGAGTACAGAGCCCTAAAATCGCGGTTGCCTGTGAAATAAGTGCTGCACTGAATTTTTTTTTCAATATTAAAAATGAACCTCATTACGATTTGCAGTGGTTGAGATATCCTGTGAAAATTAAGTTATCAATGTTTCTCAACAAGTACAAAATCTTTAATTGATAAAAATAACAATAAACTTGTAAATTTTCTCTAAAACTCAAATCAGTATGCACCCTTCGTCCTTGCTCATAGCTCATAGTCTCCGGTGTGGAAGAAATGAATTCAAGTAAAGGCAACCTCTGGTTGCGGCTCTTATTTTACAGGCAAGCGAGTTTTATAATGAAGATATAAGAAAAATCTTAATTTAATTTATATTTCATTTGAATAATACGGAAGTGTAAATGATTAACCAGTCAAGCCATGGGTTGCCGGCTAACTGAGAGCTGGCAACCATGGTTATTTCGATTCCTTACATCATTAGCTTTCAAATAATATTACAAATAATTGCGGCTTCGTTTTACCAGGCAACCGTGTTCCAATCTATTCTACTATCTTAGATGATATAAGTTAGATCTATCATAAAAAAATCAGTACCATAAAAAAAAACAGGCAACTGCAGATTTTGGCAGTGGGATAAAATACTGTAACATTGTAGAATTGACATAATAGTCATTATCAAAACGGACTAGGCTACGCACAGAAATATTTTTTGAAAATTTTAGAACTTTGGCATCAGTGAATGCCTTTCTTAATATCTTTTTATAAAAGTTTGCATATCTTTTTTGTGGTACAATGTAAAATATGACAAGATAAAATGATAACCCTAAAACAAAATATAAAACGGTGGTATCTTACGTACTCTATGCTTATAATTACAATGTAACACTTTAGACAGAGTTATATAATTAATAAAGTACTATCAATTAATAAAAAATAGAAGAAAATGTGAAAAATATAAGAAACTTTGGTAATTAAAAAACAAGAATATTATTACTGAAAAAATAACGAATAAAATGTTCGTGTGTTACAAGAGAAATGTGAAAAACTACAAAGCGTAAGTGTGGGAATAAGAACCATCTACATAAAGATAAATTTTAAAATGTATCGGTAATAACACAATGCTTTTATTGTTTTGATCAAATTAAATTATTATGCAATGACGATTTAATTTAGAAAAATGAATTTGTAATACAAAAATCAGTACCAAAGAGTACTTACTACTCTTACTACAGAAATCGGAAAGGAATACACTTCATGAAGGTTCTTGTTGAACATACGATTTACCTTTTATGAAAATACAACATGATTTAATCCTTTTTTGAACCTATTTAAAGTAGAAAGACATAGACGAGAAAGAAGTTTATATAATTTTTTATTAATTTCATTTGAGTTATAAATAAGATATAATCTGTGAGGATTGTTCTTATATAAAATGTTTGGGTGATGATATTGTTGAGGCTGTGACTATGTAGAGCAGCCATACGAGTCTCCTATAGTTAAAATTGCACGAGAATAGTACATATTTGAAACAATATACAATTCAAAGACATATTTGAAACGATACAAAAATTTTAACAATTCACGTAACATAATTTTAGTTCTACGGCTAGATACCTCTCACTCTAGATTTTTGTATAAATTTGGAAAATGAAAACCTTCCGACAGGAGAAAAAGTTTTTATTTCCACTGCAGAAAAAAAACTGTATTGTTTACTGTAAAAAAATATTACAGTCGTATAGATGTGAACATTGTGGACAATCGTCGGTCCGTAAGAAATATGACCGAGATTCTAATGGGGATTGTTTTTTAATGTCATTGAGGAAAACACCGCAAGTTTGGATTTATCACCGCTGGCCTCACTTCTACCCTTACTACTTAGATTTCCGACATACATTAAAGAGTTTTGGCACATGCTGCATGTTTTGTGCAGCTTTTCTGTTTTGGATACCTTGTTTAATCTGCTTCGAATTATGTCAGTGCTTAATTTGTTGTTGTTGTTGCTCTGATTGTTAATTTAATTACCAAAATATAAATATGTAGATGGATAAACTTTTATTTAAAATAATGCTTAAATTAAATTAAATCTTATTTTTTCAAATTACATAAATAAAACGAGCTCCCTCTTGATCTGATTTCGGCCCAAAGGTGGGACGATAGTTTGCCCAGAAGAACCTATTCATGCTCGTCATTAAATAGGTCTGGGTTAAATGCACTGGAATATAGACGCCGGCAGTGATTTCCACTTCTTGGTGAGCAAAGAAGATGACGAAAAACTTTTTTCTATATTCTGTGGCGAAATTTGCTTTGCGCGGCGACTTGGAATATCTAAATACTGTGATGTGATACTGATGACCCAGTCTGTGTAGTTTAGACTCTGCTAGCTTTTCTTCGCTAATGAGTATCTTAGTTCTGAATTCCATCGAGTCTAGTTCGGCAAGCTGATATAATTGAACATTGCAAATGTTGTATATTTTAAGGAATTTGTATGTAGGCGTTTTAAAAAAATAGGAAAACTAAATAAAAGCATATTATTAGGGAGATAACATACAAATTATGTAGTGCCAGTGATTTTTTTATTAATAATGTAATACTACAAGATACGGAAAGAATTTCGTAGTCCGAACCCAACTGTAATCATTAACGGGTTTTGTATTATAGCTATAACATACTCTCTTCTATTACCAAAATTTATGTTTGAGTTATTCAGTTATTGATATATGTGTGCATAGATTTATTATCCTTTATTTCATTTGATTACCTATGACATCTATGATTTGAAATCAAACGATAATTTTGTCATTGACACTGTCAGTTTTTGCTAAGACATATATTTTTTGTATAGTAGTTGTTGTGTTTATTTATATTTTACATATGTTTTTTATGATATTCTAAGATTCTCTTTATTTATTCAGAATGAGAAAAGTTAGTGTAGAATACTTGCTTTTATTGTTGGGAATTCAGCATTTAAATCGAAAAGTAATCGAACATGGATTTACATCGTCTACGTGTTGTAGACTACGATCGAAAATCTACGAAAAGTGAAATATCTTCCAAAGAAAATGAAGCAAAATTATCTAAGGAACATACATATGAAAATAACAACGAAAATAAATTGGTTGAATTACCATTAAAACTAAATCTGCTCAACAACAGTCAACAACTAATATATGCGGAAGGAAATGTTACAGGTACAAGTTGTAAACAAAAACGAGATGAAAATCACACTAAAGGTTAGTCATGAAGATAAGGAAAAAGATATAATAACATTAAAAACTTATTTTATTTAGTTAGTACGAAGAGGTAATTTACTTGTTGATGAGAATTCTAATTTCAGATTTAGTTTCATCAATCTGGCCGGCTGCACGCACTTTGAGCTTAAATGATATTGAGGACAAATTGAAAAAATGTGATTCGCTTAAAATAAAACAACGACATAAGAGAAAAGTCAAAAGTATCCGTTTAAAACAGAATTTAACGAGGGAGAGGGGATGTAAAGAAAGTCAAGATGATATAAAAGTTTTGTATACTTGTCAAAGAGTCGTACAACAGATCAAAAAGAAACCAAGTTGTAATGAAATTCAAAGAACTAATAGAGTTAGTCAGCTTAAGAGACCATCACATGATTTATTTAATAGACAAAGTATGTCTAAACTTCGTACTAGTGAACCATTGTATTGTCAGATATGTAAAAGCGTAACTCGTAAAAGAAAAAACAGGGGAACAACATCCCTACCACATATTCTGCGTTATCCTTTAGAAATGAACAATAAGCGAAATGAAATATGTCAGAAACATTATACTGTAGTGGATTTCCCAAACCATGATAGAATCGACCACCACACTCAGACGCAGCAACAATATACTACACACCTTGAATATGTGGTGGCACCTTCTAAAATTACAGTTCAAAAAGGTCATTGTAAGAAAACAACGAGTCGGATCAACAAGGCAGTGGTTACTGAGCCGTTATTTACTTGTGTTAAATTTAAACACAAGAAAAAGTCAAAACTGAAATGTAATAATAATTGTGCCTATCTTACTGATGATACTACTAATGTAGAAAAGAAAGCAGTAATAGTAAAGCCTTTTCGAATACTCAGAAATATTTTAAAATATGTTTTACTATGTGTCACAGTAATTGCGTGGTCGCCGTGTATTCTTGTTGCTTTTATATGTTGGCGCTTAGTTTCTCCGTTAACACCTGCTGATATAATGGCTGATGAAGTAGTAGTACCTTCGTGCGTTAAATGCAGAAAGAGCTTCTTTTCTAGATTGGTCAAATGCATTACTCGATTATATAAAAAAACCAAATGTGCTTTTGAAACTGTGAAGAGGTCAGTGAATTTTAATGAAGAAATAACTCGGTCGACACGATACCGTAAATCAGTTGGAACGCAGAAACGACCTATCGTAGGAATTGATTCTAAACCAAATCCCAATAGAACATACGTTTTATACCATTCTCAACAGAGAGGGTGGTTAATGAAACCTATGCAAGGTTCTTGTAAACCTAAACAATTGAAATCCAATGTTTGTCCCAATTTGGTTCGTGAACACTCCCCTACTAAGAAATCGGTTTCTTTTTGGGATTCAAAATTACCTCGGCCTGATATAATGAGGTATAATATTGATTGTAAATCTAAGGGAACAATTACTCCTAGTAAGCCTAAACGATCTTTTTCATGTTCGTGTATACACGAACCACCGGCTGCGCCATCACCTGTCTTAGCAACATGTCCTATTTCAAAATTTACAAAAAGGGTTCGGTGTTCAGTTGACAATTCAAAATTTCAGTCATTAAATTCCTCATCATTGATGCGGCAATCACGTCCCCGAAAGATATATAGTTCTTGTCCACATTACAAAACGGCTCCATGTCAACGACCATTGAAAAAAAATATGAACACTCAAAGGTTTCTTCATAAATGTAATCGGATCCCCACAAAAAATATTTATAGACCATGCCAACGAATACGATCACATCGAATAAGTTGCGAATCGACAACAGCTTCAAAAAGGAAGAAAAGCAAAACGGATAAAGTAGGCGATATATATAGCCGGATCAAACATCACTTTAGTTGCATAGAACAGTCTGATCGGACTTGGGAACACGGATGCGGTAATCTGTATATTAGTACTTTATCCAAGAAACCTTGCTTTTGGGTTTACAAATGGTGTCCAAATATGTACCCATTATTATTAGCTACATCTAAATTGTGTCACAATTGTTGTATGATTATATTATTTATTTGTTCAGCTTGCGTGTGGTGTCCAATATTTCTTTGTTTTTATTTGTGTTGCGAATTAATTTGTGATCTAATGTGTTGTTCTTGTTAAAATATTAAAATAAATATTATTGTATTGATTGTGATAGGTACTCGGATCCCCACAAAAAATATTTGAATACACAAAACGTCATGGTATACATTACAGTGTTGTTATAGATAAGTTTGTTTTTTCATATCCTGCTAAACAAAAATTAATTACAATAGTGCAACTATGATATCTAGCAACTTCCACAACCAGTCTAACTGGGTGTAGAGTATATTATTATATAGTATCATCACAGAGATTAATAAATAGGCCTTGGTCGCCATCGACTAAATCGTCACATGACCGCCACTAATACCATAGTGTTCTGTTGGGCTATTATTGTTTCCTTATATGTAGTTAAGAGCTATAAGCGTGTCTATTGACTGAAAGAAGAATACCTCCAATATAGGTGTAGTAATCTTTGGAAAATACGATTGAAATCGTATTACGACTTTTTGAATTTCACTATTCTCACTCACCCCGCCAATGAAACTATTAAAGTTTAGTTAGAAAGAGTACCTATCATATATTGCTATTCGCTAGGCGACGGTGTGTATTTCAAATTTTTCCCATTTTTCAAATTGATGTGTAAATTGATTTCAAATGAGGAAGTATTTTAGGAAAAAAGCAAAGCACAAAAAAAAATACCTCACTACATGGCAACTCTAGCAAAAGTTGATTTTTGCAGGAAACTAATGGACGAAAGATAGTTATTTCCGTTCCTTTTAACAAAAATATTTAAAAAAATGAAATTTGCAAAGTTTAAAACTAAGACGTCAATACAAATAAGAAAAAGTACAAATAGAATATGAGTTGTACATGAAAGAAGACCGGAAAGGTCATGGAGAAATCAAGACAGTACCGTTCGGGAACTATATACGTAATTTTTTTTTTATATTTCCTTATTAAAAAGTGGTTGTAGAAGAGGAATCTCTTTGCTTTCTTATTGAAACCGAAACTCGAAATATAAGTAAGTAACTATAATAGTCAAGTTGACAGCAGTATGAATGAGCGCTGTCATTGTCGTTGTCTGTCAGCGAGACAGTCTCTGTTTCTATGAAATACTTTAGTCAGCGATGATTTATTTTAATTTTATTAAATAGAGATTTATTTTATTGTAATAGTTTCATATTACTGTAGTGTAATAGTTTCATATGTTAACTACTTTCACAAAAGACAATATTGTTTTTCCGTAATCCACTCTTAATTATTTATTTTTAAAATGCAGTCTGAAGAGAAAACGACTAGGCAAATGGTTGATTTAGCTGCTTTAGAACCAGCGGCTAGGGTTAAGCAGTTGGCAAACTACGGTATTATGGTTGAAGTGGACCCTAACGTCCCTCCCAGAAGGTAAGATTATAAACATGTTACCTTCTGACATGTAAACTTTTGTGACTCATATGAACTATTCTTTCATCATATTATTTTCTTTAATATAAACCACAGAACTATTAAACATCATTGTACTGCAAATATATTTTCCAGGTATTATCGATCAGGCTTAGAAATGGTGAGGATGGCCAATGTTTATTTAGCTGAAGGAAGCCTTGAGAATGCTTACATTTTATATATGAAATTCATGACTTTATTTCTGGAGAAGATTAGGAAACATCCAGAATATGCAACAGTACCCGCACAAGTGAAAGCAATTAATCAAACAAAGTTAAAGGAAGTAATGCCTAAGGCAGAGAAACTGAAACAGATTCTTTTGGAGCAATATGCCAAGGAGCATGTGGCTTATAAGCAAAATGAGGTACTTAAATTGGACTAATCTATTTTATTATTACAATTGGGGTAGGTAGCATAAGTGTTACTCTTAGGAAAAAATCTTGGTTTGAATTGTGGATGTTAATGACTGCAGATGCAGCTGTGTCCAACAGCCTAACATGCTATTTGAAACACAAAGAAGCTTGAGATACTAATATTTTGGTTGCCTATTTTATAACCAAAGTTGCTTATTTTCTCTGCTTAATGTGTACTGTGTTTTCAGAAATTAAGGAATAATTCAAAATGTAGCCTTATTATTATTACTTTATAAAGTTTTTTATTTGATAAGGGTAAACAGCGCAAAGCTGAAGAAGAAAGGAAAAAGCAGGAAATGGAAGATGCAAAACTAGCCCAACGTTTGCAGGCAGATGAGAACAGGCTTGATGGATTCCATCCTACACCTCATTTAACACATACAGTATGTTTTTTCTTATTTTTGTTATCCATTCAAACATTCATGGTCAATAAAGTAACCAAAATACCCTCCAATCTGCATTGGGCCAGCGTGGAGGGTCATGGCCCATCCTCCTTAACCATCCATAAGGAAGGCCTGAGCCCCTGCAGTGGGGACGTAAAAGGGCTGGTGGTGAAAGTAACCAAAATATTTTTGTCGACTTACATCCTGGTTACTAGAGGGCCCACTGGTGGGTAGTGTGGAAAAAACGTTTTTTTTGTTGCCAACTTCAATGATAGTGTACATAATCTGTGGATTTTAGTACTTAATCTGAAATATAGATGACGCTTTGTAAAAAAATATACCACTTGAATAGCCTATAACTTATGTATTGCTTAATAAGTCTGTGTTATGGGTGCAAGTGTGTATATAGTTTGACGTTTCTAAGCTATGACAGTGACACTCAAGTAATTATGATAAAAATGAAATGATTTTACTATACAAAAATGGATTTTTACTATAGGAAGACTGGGCTGTAGCTCCTTCAGCACCGAATGTAGAAGATGTGTTGTACCCTGATGACTTTGCCACAGCTCCACCACGTGCACCAGATCATCACTATCAACCCACTCCTCCACTCATACCACCTTCCAGGCCTCATCAGTAAGTCATAGCAAAAATGAGTGTATGCTACATATGAAACTATTATATTTACAAGTGCTTTTTTGTAAATTTTAAATCTTGACATGTAGAAAAAAGATTTATTTTTTTACATTATTTTAAATTTAAGTTATAATTTAAACTTGTTCAATAAATTTGGCTGATCTGAAAGACTACATAGCTATGATATAAAAATAATAATAATAATAAGCTTCATTTCCGAGATATGACTCCAAGTAAATGCTACTATCAATAGAACTATAATTTAATACAAGTAAATAAAGAGACAAACATACACTTAAAAGCTAGTATGCAACTGCATCCAGCGTATCAATATGGAACTGTCCCATCGGTCTACGATATAGCATTGGCCTGTGTTTTCGTGTATAAATCAAATTCTCATGGAATACCACATATAGTAAAACCCAACAAACATTGTGCCTCGTGAATGATTATGATAAGCGATCTTGTTTTAATAACCTTTAAAATTTACTGTCTTTTTATTACTCAGTCAGGGCGGTTGTTGAATTATTCCGATTGGTTAAGATATTCGCTTCGAAATCTAGTCTTCCCCACTGGTACATTGAAATATAGCCTTCTTAGACCAAAGTTCGCGTTACTTGGTTTTGATATAGGATCTTAAGTCTTTAAGGCTAAAGAAATTTATGTCGTATTGTACAGAGAGCACGGGTTCTCGCCGGCGCTGCCGCCGCTGTCGGCGTCGCGTCGCGTGCGTACTGTAGTGGTACCGGCGGCGTTGTTGGCTCGCTTCTTGCAGCTGGCCGCCAGCAATACCGCGCGCAATGTGGAGACTTGCGGCATACTAGCCGGCGTGCTGGTATGTACACACAGCACCACATCAATTTTGCTATAGAAAGCCAAATTTCTTAAATCAATTTTGCACGTTACTTTTGTAGTAATCTGAAGTGCTGTCGATTGCACTATTTTAAGGTTCAGGGGAGCGATTCCGTAATAATCCGAACCCGAATCAGAATTCATTCATGTGTCCGAATTATTATTTAGTGTATAAAATCTATTGATTCCATTGTTTGAATAAAAATACAAAAAAAAAATTGAGTGATTATTTGTATCTCCCATATTCTATCACCATGTCATTTCGAAACTCAATTCACTTATGCCATGAAAGGTTATTACCAATTCAAGGTTGAGTGCATGCCGCTTTTGAAGTGAATTCAGACACCTGAGTGAATTCATGAAAGCTGTAAATAACTTACTTTTTTTTGTCTATAAAATTGCCCCGCTCCTGTCAGCTGATGCGCCGTAATATGATTCTCACACAATACTCGCGCGGAGCACCGCGCGCAGCACGTATAGATATAACTATTAATTAAGTAGCTTTCTTGCCATGTCTCTTTACATAAACTTGATATTATCTTGCACTCTCCATCATCTGTATTACATAAACTTTTATCGGTCTTCATCCGATATTCTGGTTTTTGACTATGACAAAAATATATTTCTGATTGTATATAACACGCCTTTACATCCATTTCCTTCATTGGTATAAAAATATCTTTTTTGATGTTCATAGCTATATAATCGGCTATAGGAATTAACTTGATAATATGTCTTTCATTATACTGCGGAATTGGCACTAGTCTTAGTATTTCATAAGTTTCTCTACTCATTAATGGAATCTTGATTTCAAAAATTAAATATTCTTTCAGCATTCTTGTCTTGATTTTTATAAGATTATATAACTTGCGTAAATCAGAGTGTATATTATCGAGAGGCAGTAATACATCCTTTGGCAATTTACTTGATATAATGCTCAACTCGTCGATTAACTGCTCCGGTGTCAGCAAATGTACATTGAACCGTCCTTGATGAATGTCCGTTATTGTATCTAATAATGTATATTGTAGGTTTTTCAAGTTGCCGAGTACGTTGTTTGCTATTATCGACCCAATTGCGAAGTCATTAGCGATGTCACTTGTTTGTACTCCGTTTTTTAGGCTTTCTATTGCTCGATCTAAAGTAATCATATGTTGATTTATAACTTTATGTTGGTGATTCATGGCGCTCTCTGTGCGTTTTAATAAACTATTTTCTGACTCTGCAATCGACGTTTGGTTTTTCCAAAGGTTCAAAATATGGTTTTGGTTGTCTTGTAAAAGTCGTATATCCCTTTTGTACTGGTCAGCAAATCTTTCGTCTAGTACTCCGAACAAGTCGTTCGCTAGGTAGCCGATACCGTTGATAAGGCCTCGTCTCACGCGCTGTCTAGCCGTCTGTCCGCCGTGTTGCTGACTTAGTAACAGCTGATCGTAGTAATCGAGTTCTTCGTAGCCGTGACGTAACTGGATCATTAGCGCGTCACAATGAGTTTGTTGTCGTATTATTTTACATGTTCGGTCCAATGTATGTATATATGTATCGAGTGCTCTTTTGCCAATCCAATAAGGTTCCATTTGATAATATATAACGAGTTTCCACTCATCTTTAATAAGCAACATGTTTGCTACCTTGTCGAAGTAAATATTTTGATTTTCTCTGAACTGAGTGATGTTGACGTTAGCCGTGCAACTTGATAAAATTATAAAAAAGAATAAAAATATAGTCATCATTGACGTGAAAATATTTCGGTTTCCGTATCTCATATTTTTTGCTGATTTTTGTGTTTGCGACTTGTTTTCGCTTTCAGTTCTATTTTCAGTAATTTTATTGCTGACTCTTGTCTCGACGCAGTCTTCGTGACTAATAAGTTTCGATAACTTTATGACAGGCCTTTTTATATATCCACTCTTTGTTTTCAGGGTGACCACTCTTACAAAACCATCTTGACCTGGATGTAATTCAGTTACTCTTCCCATAATCCATTTGCCGGGCGGTAAATTTTCATCTTGCAGGAGAACCACGTCATCGATTTTTATGTTTTGTTTTGGATGCTTCCACTTGGATCTCGATGTCAGTTGTGTCAAATACTCTACAGACCATCGCTTCCAAATATCTTGTATTATTTGTTGTGTGAGATGCCAACGCGTTCTGAGGTCTCTTTCTGTTTGTACAATTGTTAGTACCGGACCGCTTGATAGAAAATGAGACGGTGTTAAGTAATTGAGGTCATCTGGGTCCTCTGTCAAAGGACACAATGGCCTGGAATTCAAGCATGCTTCAATCTGAGTTAGTAAGGTGGAGTATTCTTCGTAGGTAAGCTTGTTCTCGCCAAGGACCCTCTTTAGGTGAAACTTGAAGCTCTTGACTGCCGCTTCCCAGAGACCTCCTGCTGATGGCCACGAAGGTGCATTGAAGTGGAACGAGATTTCCATATCGACTAACTCTTGTTGTAATTCCTTGTTCTTGAAGATTTGTATTACTTCTTGATATTCTTGTTGAATGATTCTGTTTGCACCAACGAAATTGCGTCCGTTGTCGCAATAAATGTTAGTAGGAATTCCTCTCCGTGCCGCCATTCTCCGTAGTGCTGCGATGAACGCTGAGGACGACAAATCGGAGACCAACTCTAAATGAATGGCCTTGGTTGCCATACATACAAATACACATACATATCCCTTTGTGGTTTTTATACCACGACCCTTGGTGGCCTTTAAAAGGACATGCCCTGTAAAATCTACTCCTGTGTTTTGGAAAGGACGTGATGGATTGACCCTCGCCTCAGGTAAGTCTCCCATGATCTGTTTCATCATTGTCGATGATTGTTTTTTACAGGTAATACATTCATGGACGTATTTCTTGATAGTCATATATCCTCTTAATATCCAATATTTTTGTCGCGTGTATGCGAGTGTAACACGAGCGCCGCCGTGTAAAGTGAGCTCATGCGCGTTTCTTATAATCAAATATGTTAATCTATCGTGTTGCGGTAGAATAACGGGATTTTTCATTTCCTGATTAATATTTGCGAATCGCAGCCTCCCTCCGACGCGGAGTAATCCTTCATTGTCCAAAAATGGGTTTAAATTTTGAATCTTGCTTTTGGTTGTGATCTGTTTCCCTTTCTTCAGATTCTCTATTTCTTCTTCAAAAACCTCTTCCTGTACATATTTCAAAATAGTATTTGTGGCGGCTCGCAATTCTTGTATAGTGAGCCACGGGGTGCTTATTCTTGAATTCCTTTTTGTTAGAAATCTACGGAGCCAAGCGATTATTCTTATAAGTTTTTGGAATGAACTGTAGTCATTTATTATCTTCTTGATAAGATTACTTTCATTGTTTTGAGTAATTACGTTTACTTGCTGTCTTGGTTTCTCTTCTTCGCTAGTGGTGTATACAGATTGTTTTTGTTTTGTATACGTATATGTAGATAACCACGCTGGCCCTCTCCACCATAGATCGTGCTGTTTTAACTGACTTGCTGTCAAACCACGGCTCGCACAATCTGCTGGGTTTTCTGTGGACTTGATATATTGCCAGCACTCTGGAGGCATAGTTTCTGTTACCTTTCGTACTCGGTTGGCAACAAATGTCTTCCAACGATCAGGGTTCCCTTGCAACCACCCCAAAACCGCGGTGGAATCTGTCCAACCATAAGTTTTGATATCTAATGTTGATGATAAAGATTGTCTAACGTTTTTCATTAATTTAGAGAGAAGAAGGGCCCCGCTGAGTTCCAGACGTGTTAATGTAACCTTTTTATTACAGGGAACGAGTCTTGATTTTCCAACTAGTAATTTTATTTCAGCTTGACCTGATTTTATAACTTTGCTGTAAACGACGCAGCCATATGCTTTTTGCGACGCATCACAATAGCCATGTAACTCGACTCTGTCTGTGACGTCAGAGCCTAACCATCGTGGTATTTCAATTGTATTTATTTGTACAATATCGCTTTTTATTAATTTCCATTCATGATAAATGTCCTCCGGGAGCTTGTCATCCCATGCCATCTTCGTTTTCCAAACTTGTTGAAAGAGTAGTTTCATTTTGGTAGACAGCGGAGTTAGCCACCCCAGCGGATCAAATAGCTGTGAAATAGCGGCGAGCAGCGATCTTTTCGTATCTTCTATGTCCTTGTTGACCTTACATTGAAAAATAAAAACATCTTTTTCGGGATTCCAGTGTAAACCTAGAGTCTTGGAAGATTCGGTATGCTGGAAATTAAAATTAGTTTGTTCTTGTTGGGTGGAATCTTGTAATAACTCGTGATAATTGGACTTCCATTTTCTTAAATTAAAGCCTCCAGCTTTCATAAGATTGATGAGATCTTCCTTGATTTTCAATGCAGATTCCAATGAAGGGACAGCGAGTACTAAGTCGTCCATATAAAAATTACTTTCGAGTATTCGTGCAGCTTCTGGGAATTTTTCCTTTTCGTCACTTGCTAGTTGGCGTAGAGTCATCATTGCGAGATAGGGAGCGGCCTTGGTGCCGTAGGTGACCGTGGTCAGTTGATATTGTTTCAACGGTTCGCGAGGGCTGTCTCGCCAGACTATTCTTTGAAGAGGCTGATCATCTTCATGTAACCAGATGGCGCGAAACATCTTTTCACAATCTGCAGTGAAGGCTACTTGATATTGTCTCCAACCTAAAATTAACGTGAAAATATCCTTTTGTAAGTTAGGCCCGGTACTCATGCAATCGTTGAGACTTAATCCACTCGATGTTTTTTCCGATGCATTGAAGACTACGCGTAGTTTCGTAGTACTAGAATCGCTTCGTAGCACGCAATGGTGCGGCAAGTAACAGTCGGGCTCGGGCGATGTATTATTCCAGCTGATAAGTTTCATATGACGTAATTCTTGATACTCGTCAATGAATGATTTGTAGGCTATTTTTAGCTCATTATTTTTATTCAATTTTCTTTCTAACTGGTGAAATTGTGCAATGGCTTTACGTTTAGACTCTCCTAGTTGATGTATATTTGAATGAAGCGGCAATCTCACTATGTACTTTCCGTCTTCCGATCTTTTTGTCGTTGACTTGTAAAATTCAATACATTTATTTTCTTCTATTGAAAATGTCTGGTTTTCGGGTAAATCTTCTATTTCCCAAAATTTTTGTATGTCTTGGATGTTATTGATAATCACATTGCATTGGAGAGTTTGTATTTTTCCGCATAGAATCCATCCGAGTCGCGTTTGCTGGGCGACCGGTGTCTTGTTATCTATTCTATACATTCGATCCATAATAATATTTGAATATATTTCGGCTCCAAATAAAATATCAACGGGCTTGCTAACGTTGAATTCGGGATCTGCCAGATTTATTTCTTGTAACAAATGCCATGATGGTCGAGTGAATGAGTCGTTAGGTAAGTTTCTTGTTAACGTTTTCATAACGTAGACATCAGTTGTAAAAACGTAATTTTCTATTATTGACTTGCAATTGATTTTTATCATTCCATTACAAATGTTGGACTTGATTCCAACGCCTGTTATAACGCCTTTACATTTTTGATGAGGTAAGCATAAAATCTGTGCGGCCTTAGCCGTTATGAGAGATACTTGTGAGCCTGGATCTATAAGGGCTCGCATGATTTGGGTTTCACCATCTGCTCTTTGTACTTTCACCAAAGCTGTTGCCAACAGTATTTCAGTCATGTCACTCTGTTGGGCCATGTGAGAGTTGTTGCTGAATCGTTCAAGTCGTCGGTTCGATTCCCCGTTGGTTACCACCGTGTGTCTTGACGTCACGTCGATTGGAGTTGCGTTAGTTTTCATATATGCTGAGTGCAGCAAAGTGTTATGATTTCCGTTGCACTCACGACATCGTTTATTCGATGAACATGCTTTTCCATTGTGATTATATAGGCAATTATAGCAATAGTTTAGTTTTGCAATGGTTTTTTTTTTCTGTGTCGATGACATTTCAAGGAATTGCTTACAGAAGTAAATTCCGTGTTCAGTGCTATTGCATATGGGGCAGTTTAATTTATTTCTTGTATATGATTGCGAAATAACCTTATTGCTTGAAAAGTTCTTAAAGTAATGTGATTTATCTTGTCTACTTGATGTCGAGGAGACTGATTTTTGATGATAATTTTCTTGTTTTCGTCGCGCCGATTCCATTGTAGTGAACTTGTTTTCCAAAAAACTGAGAAAATCGTTTAAATTTGGCAATTCTCGTGGCTCCTTTAGTGACTCTAAATAGTCACTGTGTGTCTCGGTATCCATCTTTTGCACTAAAATATAAACCAAAATCGGATCCCACGTGTCTATGTTGACGCCTAAGTTTTTGATCGCATTTAAACATTCTGTAGTAACGTCATGAAGGCGTTTTATGTGATTCGCATTAGCTTGTTGCGTTACCGGAAGGCTCATTATGGAGTTCATGTGGGTTGTGAAAATTAGCTTCTTGTTATTGTAACGGTGATTTAATATCTCCCAGCAGGTTATATAATTTTCAGAGCTGATTTGTAGATGCTGTACCAAACGCTCAGCTTCTCCCTTAAGCTTGCTCTTAAGGAATTGCATTCTCTGTGCATTTGATAAGCTTGGATTGTTATGTATAGCCTCACTGAAGAGATCTTTAAATGAGATCCATTGTTGGTAGCTACCGTTAAACATAGGGATGTCTAGTTGCGGTGTTGATTTCTCCCGGTGCGAAACAGACCATAACTTGCTATTTATGGTCTTTTTGATGTCATGATATTGTTGTTCGTGCTCTGTGAATCTTTCTTCATATTGTAGGTTAGATCCATTTGTTTCACTATCTATCTCCCAGTGAAGTAAATCTATAGCTTTCCAGCGCGACTGGAGTGCTCTTAACGTGTCTTCGAACTCCCAACGCTCCTGCATGGTATCTATATGGATATTAGAGACGGTTCTTGAAAACGCCTTAAAATTACTCAATTGCCTTTTGAACATCTCATCCAACTTGCTGTAGTTACCTGAATTTGCATTATTTATCATAGTATTCCAGTCTTGTTTAGTGGTTGGAGCATCCTTTTCCTGCGTGATGAGGTCGTCCTTGAAAATTGCGTGATCTTGATCTCCTTGTTGAGATGTGGATGCGCCATCACTTATGTTTTTATTTTCGTACGACGTACTAGGTTGCAGCCTAAGAGGTTTTTTCGGAGTTATGCTGATACTCATTTTCTCAATATGAAGTTTAGCGTCCAAATAACTTTGCCTTGTTTGTTGGTAATAATCACCTACGAAATATTCCTCGTCCGCAGGTAGTCACTCTGAAATCTTCACGTGATTCACCTTGTATTCATTCCAACATTTTTCCAAAGATTCGAGACGCCTCTTGATAGTTTCTGGGGTTCTACGTGATTGACCTTCCTTTTTGAAATTAATCAGTATTTTCTTGATCTCTTCTGCCAACAATGTTTGCTGGTAGAGTAAGTCATTCATATCCATGTTAATTTTATAAACTGGATAAATATTTAAATAAAATTAACTTGATCTTGATTTACTTGATAGAAAAGGTACCTTACTTGATATTTATATGATTTTTGATGTGCACGATTTTGATGCTGCCGTGGACTTGTATTTCACAACAAAGATTCCACAGTAAACTTGTTCTTGTAACTTGAAAACTTGCTGGTTCTTGATATTCAGTGTCTAATATCCTTTCGCGTGATATGAGCGCCTTCTCAATACAGTCGGTGAGACCCGCTTGTGGGAGGCCGACTGGACCGATTCGCTATCACGTGAAATCACAAAGAATCACTGAACAGTTCCTCGAAGGACCATATGTTCGCGTACTTTGCTTGATCCACGAACTAACTGATTAAATTGATAAATAAGAATCCGTGTCGATTTTAATATTGATTTATTTGCGAATTATATATATATACACTTGATACTTGCTGCGCGCGACAATGCCTTGATTGCACTGTTAATGTATATAAAATGTGAATGAATATGTAAGTAAATGCTGACGCGGTAATATGCTTAATGTGCGGTATAAACCGTACAAAATGTCTTACTAAATTTTAATTAAATTACTAACTAATTAAATAATTTAATTTAGTTTATAACGTATTTTAATTAAATTACTAATTTAATTAAAATACATTATTTAGGAACGTGACCAGCTCAAGATCACTCATGTAGTGGTGCCGAAGCAGACCGGTACCGCTGACTCGTGTAGTACCAACAACGAGGAGGAGATATTCCACTACCAAGATCAATACAACCTGATCACCTTAGGGTGGATACATGTGAGTAAGGACGATGGGGACATGTATGTAACATTAGATTTCTATGGCTATTTTGGTTCATAATATCATCTGTTGCTTAGTCTAATATGTTCTCAAGATAATTTTGACATAAAAATCTATATAGTATGCTAAGCAAACCACGTTTGCCTCGTATATATATCCTAGTTACATAACCAAATAATATATGTATGTAATACGAATAATCAATAAATCATCAAGGTAAAAATTAGTAAGGAAAAAATGTTGGACGCAAAGTCGAAACAATTCTTAATATGTAATATTCGTAAGTGATAATAATAATAATAATAATGACGACCCCATCGCCCACCGATGCGGCGAGTTTAGTGAGAGGATTTGCCGTATCAGTGCAATTAGTCCGCACCTAAAATATTATTCATAGGCGAGAAGTGTTGGTCCGTGCTTCTTTTCCATCTGCCGTCATTGTGGGTGCAATCTATCTTAACGGATCCATCAGGGAATTGGACGACCCCTGATGTATCAAGCCTATTTTAGTAATACGATGAGTGGAGTAAACAGAGCGCGTATAGGGCCGCTGCCTGGGGTTCGCCAGGGCTCGCCCGGAGCTGGCGCCGGGTCGAGCAGAATGCGAGCCAGCCAACCCCGAGGGCCGGCACGACCATCTCGCCGGCCCACTCCACCTTCACCACCAGCTGGCTTGGGTCTGGCAGGGTCTTCACAGACTCAGCAATCAGTCCCCGCCGCTGGTGGAGTACGCCGCATGAGGTGGACTACTCCACAAAACGAAAACATCATGCGCGCGTACTACAGGGCGACAGAGACAGGTGTCGGCGGAACGGGTTATCGGGCAAGATTGCTTGCTGCGTTTCATACCCTGGAGCCTTCGCTGTCCGTTACGGCGCAAAATTTGGCAGATCGAGTTCGCTTTATTCTTCGGAGAGAAATCTTTACTCCAGCAGAACTCGGTCAACTACGACTCGAGGTTGTGTCGTCTATGAGTCCCGGTAGCAGAAGGCAGAGCAGAAGGCGGAGTAGCATTGCGCGCAGCACCATATGCGACCCCAATGCTACAGTGGCCAGTCCTGCTCCTGCTGAAACGGGAAGGGTAGACGACGCAACCGCCCAGAATTTAGAGCAGATCAGGGGATTACTTGAAGAGGCGATTCTCGAATTTCGCGAGCTCCCACTTGAGGAGAGGCCGAAAATCCCGAGGATACCCCTAAGTCGTAAAAATCAGGATGTCGTTGAGGCAGTAAGCCAAATGCTTCTTCCATACTTGGAAGAAAGCGGCAGTCTCAGTGATACCAACTCGATCCTATTTGGCGCCGCATTGGCGGTCTGTCGATTCATCGGCGCCAAAGTGCCCACTGGAGAGCTGAACGGCATACCAATGCCCGGCACAGCGAGACTCCGGCGTGGCGTAAGAGGATTGAGAAACGTATTGCTGAGACCAGAGTCCTCATCGGCAAACTGATTAGTTTCAGGTCAGGCAATACGAGGCCGAGGGTGATGCGTTTCGTACACATGGCAATGGCGGGGATAGATTTCAGTCTTGCAGACCCCGCCTTAATGCGAAAAGTGTCGGAGCGCATCGATGACCTGAAACAGAAAATTGCGGCTTGGGGAAGTCGGATACGGCGGTACTCGGAGAGAGGGGCAAGGTTTCGCCAGAATCGTCTCTTTGGGAGTGACCAAAAGAAGTTTTACCGTACATGGGAGACACGAGCTGGCCCCTCCACTGGCCAAGGACCGAATGTCACAGATGTCATTGCCTTTTGGCGGAACATCTGGTCCCGGCCTGTGGAGCACATAGAGGGCGAATGGATGGCGCCTATAGAGGAAGCGTGTGCATCGATAGATGCGATGAACCCCATCACCATAGAGTCGGATGACGTGTTGGCTGCGGTCCGTAAAGCTCCGAACTGGAAAACTCCAGGGATTGACGGACTGCACCACTACTGGTTGAAGAGTTTCCGCTCATGCCACGCATTCCTGGCCCGCCAATTCCAAGACGCCCTAGAACAGCGAAGTCTCCCAAACTTCTTAACAACTGGGGTCACTCACTTAGCTCCAAAGTCCACCAATACCGCGGATCCGTCACAATACCGCCCCATAACGTGCTTGTGTACCACCTACAAAGCACTGACATTCATTCTGAAGGCTAAGATTGATGCTCACGTTGAGCACAATCATATCATGGTGGACACTCAGAATGGATGCAGGGGCGGGAGCCGCGGTTCAAAGGAGCTTCTCCTGATCGATGCGGTCGTGGCCCAACAGGTCAAACGCAACCGACGCAACTTCTCTGCAGCCTGGATAGACTACAAAAAAGCGTTTGACTCGGTTCCCCATACGTGGTTGAAGAGGGTCCTCGAGCTGTACAAGATCGATAGTACAGTTCGAAACTTCCTCGAGACCTGTATGGGGCAGTGGAGTACGCAGCTTAGTCTGTTCGGGGTGCAGCTGTCGGATGCGGAAGACCGAATAAAGATTGAGAGGGGTATATTCCAGGGCGATTGTCTGAGTTCACTTTGGTTTTGCCTGTCCCTAAATCCGCTTAGCACTTTGCTGGATAAACCAGGGACAGGTTTTCAGTTGAAGAGAGGATTGTTCAAAATATCTCACCTCTTCTACATGGATGATCTCAAGTTGCTTGCTCCAAATGCTCAGAGGCTGGCGGAGCTGCTGAAAATCACAAAGGATTTCAGTAGCTCCATCAGCATGGAGTTTGGGCTGGACAAGTGTGCGGTTATCCATGTGGAGAGAGGTCGGATAAGTGATTCCACCCAAGTGGACCTACCGGATGGATCCACCATCCGTACCCTCTCCGAAACTGATACATACCGGTATCTGGGTATGTCACAGAATCTGGGTGTACATATGGCGGACGTGAAACAATCCGTTAAGGAGGCCTTTTTGGGACGCCTGACTAAGGTGCTTGAAAGCTACCTGTCAGGCGTCAACAAAGTCAGGGCCATTAACGGTTGGGTCATGCCAGTCCTAATGTACACCTTTGGCATACTCAGATGGACTCAGACCGAATTGGACGCCCTGGATCGGAAAGTCCGCACAACTTTGACACTCCATAGGATGCACCACCCGAGATCGTCAGTGATGAGGCTGTATATCCCGAGGAAGAGCGGCGGTTGTGGGCTGCTCAGTGCGAAAACCCTGCACAACCGCGAGATACACAGTCTCCGTAATTACTTCCTGGTGAAATCGGAATCCAGTGAGTTGCATAGAGATGTCAAAGCATGTGATGTAGGACTAACTCCTCTCTCTTTGGCCACCGAGCAATGGCGAGAACCGGCAGTACTTAGCACCACTGACCGAGAGGCCGTTTGGAGGGAGAAGGAGTTGCACGGTAGGTTTTACAAGGCGCTACATGAGCGTCACGTGGATCCGAGAGCCTCCGTGCATTGGCTGTGCTTCGGGGACCTCTTTGGGGAAACCGAAGGTTTTGTCTGTGCAATACAGGACCAGGTCATTATGACCCGAAACTACCGGAAGTATATCCTGAAGGATGGGACAGATGACGTTTGTAGAGCCTGTCACCAGCCCGGGGAGTCACTCAGGCATATTACTTCCGGTTGTCCTGTACTGGCTAATACCGAGTATTTGCACAGACATGACCAAGCAGCCAAAATACTCCATCTCGAGCTAGCCTTCAAATACGGCCTCATAGGCGAAAAGGTGCCGTACTATAAGTATGTGCCGGAGCCAGTTCTTGAAAACGACCGCGCTCGATTGTACTGGGACCGGTCCGTCATTACGGACAGGTATGTTCCTGCGAACAAGCCTGATATCGTACTGATGGACCGGGCGGAATCTCGGGTGTTCTTAGTGGATGTCACCGTCCCATTCCATGAAAACCTCGTGAAAGCCGAATCAGATAAAAAACTTAAATATCTGAACCTGGCGCACGAGGTTACCGATATGTGGCGAGTGTCATCCACTGAGATCATCCCAGTCGTAGTGTCAACGAATGGCCTAGTCCCAACTTCTCTTCACGACCATCTAAAGAGGTTGGGACTCCGTGACGGACCAATGATTGCGAGGCTCCAGCGGGCGATCTTGCTCGATAACGCAAGGATCGTCCGCCGTTTTCTCTCTTTGTCGCCCTGACCCCCGGCCGTCTGGCCCCCTCTGCCGGGGGGGAATCCTCCCACCCCTCGAATCGTCGAGGGGTCGGGAAGAGTAAATTTTTAAATACAAAAATAATAGTATAACACTATAATCTGTGATATTTTGTTTGACTATTATATGACATTTGTTTGACCCATTTGAGTTTTCTCATTTTATTTTGTCGGGGTATTTTTTCACATGTTTCATTTATAGGATTACATGAATAGAATATAATCTTAATCTAATCTAATAATGCCTTCACAGATCGGATCATATTTTTTACACCCTGTATAAAGCCTCGCCAGATACAGATTTTGCATTCAGCTCGAGGCGAATGTTTTTACTATTGTATATTGCGTTTTCAGTGCTAAAATAACAAAATGTTTTATTAATTGACAGACGCACCCGACGCAGACCGCGTTCCTCTCTTCAGTGGATCTACATACTCAGTGTTCCTATCAGCTGATGATGCCAGAAGCTGTCGCCATCGTGTGTGCACCTAAATACAATGAGTAAACGCTTATTTTATTACTTACTTTAAAATGGCTGTTATTAGTATGATCTTGGTCCTTCGATCCGCATATGTGGTTCAAACTAGAGATTAATATTAGCTCGTGAGTATACCATTATTAATATGAGAATCTCAGATTTCCGCAATTTATTTTGAACGTAAATATCAACAAATTAAGATTTAAGTTTGATTAAATAGAAGGTTATTAAAAGCACTCTAGAATCGAACAACATTATCCTGAATGAGTAATAGTTTTTCATTCGATTCGGACGTATTTTCAGTCACAAGGCGAACGGGCGAAAGAAACTCATCAGTTTTTAATAGTTTTTAATCGAGTTATTACCAAATCGTTATAATAATTAGTTAATCAGTTGACAGATAGTATCATGCATCTATTGATGATAATTAATATAATACTAGTGGACGCCCGCGACTTCGTCCGCGTGGAAGTCGGTATCCCGTGGGAGTGAGAAGTTTTCCCAGTAAAAAGTACCCTATGTGTTATTCTGATGTATAACCTATATTGCTGTAAAGTTTTATCCAAATCCGTCCAGTAGTTTTTTCGTGAAAGAGTAACAAACATCCATACATCCATACTTACAAACTTTCGCCTTTATAATATTGCTGTAAAGTTTTATCCAAATCCGTCCAGTAGTTTTTTCGTGAAAGAGTAACAAACATCCATACATCCATACTTACAAACTTTCGCCTTTATAATATTAATAGGATGTATGTACAGCAAGCATAATAAAAAACAAAAAAACGATTGGTTGTCCATTAGTAAGTAGTTTAGAGGAGACTCATTTCCATGAGTAACACATTCTTGATGCATAAACCAGCGATCACTGATGAGGCTATTGAGAACGACTTAAATTACCAATTCGCACTGGACCAATGTGGTGGTTTATATGCCGTTCTGCCTGTCAATACTGTTTCATCCACAGGGAAGGCATGTGTCCAGCTGTGGCGACATTAACACGCTGATGATAATCGAGAATGACTTAATTGAACATCTTTAGATTCCCACTTGTATGCAGGGTCGTTAGTAAAATACGAACTTACTAGCTAACAACGTTGTTGTTTATTATGTTAGCTATCTAATCAGGCGATTAGATAGCCAACATAATAAACAACAACGTTGCTACTATATGTTTTGTTCATTATTTACATTTCATTTTCATAAAAAAATAAAATATGTTTTATATGCTAATAATTTTATTCGCAACACTAACACTTACACACTGTGTGAAAAAAAGTACTGTCATACAGAGTGCGGGTTAAGCGTAATTTTTTCGTTTATTATTAAAACATAGACGTAAAAATGGCACGAAAGTACAATAAAAGATTCGAAAACCATTTTTCTTCAAAGTACTGTTAAAACTTTTCGAGATTCATGGTATTTTATAAAAATAACCCTGTATATGCTTAATTTGTTACTATTTCTAGGACTGGTTACTTTGCCTTGACACCGGACGGAATGGGATTCATCACAAACTGTCGTCAGACCGGCTTCCACCCGCATCCCAATGACCCGCCATTGTTTTACGTAAGTTATATTTGTTTTGTTGTACGTGAGACACAGACTACTGATATTTAAAAATTATATATCTGGTTATTGATAAAAATAATGATTATTAAACAATAATATTCGGCGAATATTCATTTTGTCACATCAATCAAACCTTCAATTATGCGTTACCTATTAAGTAGCGGGGTCGCTTTATTATTTCACTAATTGTCTTATTCTTATATTGGAATTTCATCTATTATTATATAGATATTATGTCTTTTTGGCATCAAAAAAATTTATAGAATGCATATTCTATAATTTTTTTATTGATATGTTTGCAGGATGTGAAACACATTAGGTTAGATAACGCGGCATCCGTTGAGATGGTAGACCTTCGGAGGTGAATCTCTTAGGCCACCTACCTGGCTTCACTGCTGTTAGTACACTGGGTAACTGTAGCAAGTATTAAGTACACTTGCAGGGTAAGCTTATTCATTACATGTTGCATACGTTATAGTGGGGGTAAATTATCCCAAGCAAATTTGCCGCTAGAGGCGCTAGTGTAGCGTGAGGTCTTGAAATATCATTTGTCACTGTTTTTCTGTCGTTGACAGGTTTATCGCTATTATTTATATATTTAAGGTATTGAAAAAATATTGTTATATTGAGAACAATATTTTTTTTGTGATATTAGTTATATACATCTAGATGTTTCTGTCGCTTATCTCTCGGAAATTTGTTTCCTCCGTTTTTTTTTTTCTAAATACAATATGAAACGGGGTGTGCTTGGTATATTAGGATTTAATTGCAAACTTGTGACGTGAATGTGCAATTAAAGAATAAACTTTTTTAACACTTGCTCGTAAAGCTGATGTAATTCCACCGGTTTTAAATATGTAAAGCGGGTCATAAAAAACGCGTGTGTTACCAAAGCAAATAGTCAAGGTATAGTCCATACAAATTCCATAACAGTATTATTTGCCATTTCGCGCGCTGTTGCTATTCAAATTTCGAACTAATCGCCGCGCGGCGCCAGTCAGTAGGCAGCGCTAGCGCGCTGTTAAAATGGCGGGAAAGCAACAGTGTACATTCACAGATTGAGTTTATTTAATGTTTTTTTTTTTTTGTTTCCTCGCAAATGTGTTAAAAAACGTCGTACGATATACGTGCGTATTGGTTATAACATGCTCGGCTCAATAGGGATGATGACTAATTTTTGTTTGTTTGTCCGTCAGGTAGAGTGTTAAAAAATATTAAACACGTATTTTTTTATTTTTTCGTAATCATAAAATAACGGCGTTTCATTGAGTTGAAATTTCGCATGACGTCACGTTAGAGTACGTTTTCTACTCAACTGTGACGTAGCGAGCCCCCACTCCTCAACTTTAATGCCTGTTATCTAAGTTATTTCTTGTTAAATTGAAGTAAAAAAAATACGTATCTAATATTTTTCTATAATCTGAATGACGGACTAAATAGAATTGCATTTTTTTTTACCCAGTCATCATCCCTATTACGCCCTCACCTTCGGCTCGGGCTGAAATTCCGCCTCGCATGTTATAACCATCATAACGCACTAATATCGTAATATACTATAACACTTAACATACCTTAGGACCTCAGTCTCCAGTGGCGCCACCTGGTGAGCACAGATACGGTGACCCTAATTAAAGTCTCTTTGTCGAAATCTTGTCAATTTCGACTTCTTTCTATTTAGCTTTAAATGCGGTTTGTTAAACAAGTAACGCATTATAAGTGGTGTGGACATTTTTGAAAACGAAATGATATCTGCACGTTTGCCTTTCTTTTAGTATTGCTATGTTCTATTAAATACAAAAAGAGGCTTTCAATCGAATAAATCTATTTAATATAATAATGCTGTACGCATATAGAGATATAAAAATCATATACCTTTTTTATTTCTTTAAATTCTGTTATATTTGAGTTTCATTGTGAATTCAACATTGTATCAATTTTTGATTCAATTCACGAATTTAAAAAGGAGATTGACCTTTTCAAGTCCCCTGCCTCTTTTTAAATCAGTTATTTATCTGTTAAATACTTGAGTACGAAAGAATATTTAATAATTTAATTTGAATTTATTTAATGTGATCTGTTCGTGATTTCGCTTGTGATGTGCGAACTATAACATAAAAAACTTTTTTCTTTAAAAAAAGCGGTTAATATTGAATGGTATTTTATGGATCTCGGTCATGGGCACACTATGTCGTTTATATCATATACAAAAAATATATTCTAGGTGCAGTTCTTATGACAATCTTTGAAAGTATCATCCACTGTAGTCAGTTAATGTCAATCTAGTAGATCCGCCGTCGGTTTTGTTATTCCGATTATTGTAAAATTTCTCAGTAAAGCCCTTGACCCATTTTTACAATACCAATTGAAAGTTAGGTACTTTTTGGTCTACGCGCCCTCTAAATGTCTTCTGAAGCGCGGAGTAGCTCCATATAGTAAATTTTTATTTACCTTTAATACAAAATATGATTAAAATGAGTACTTGGTTTAATTCATTGGCTGCCCAACGGCTGGTTTAAACGGATTTATCACTTAATTAACAATTTAGAATAAAGAAAATTTACAATAACAGGAGAACATGTCAATTAGAGACGTGTTGACTTATTTTGGTCAGATAATCATTTAAACCTGGTAAAGTTAGTTCTCGTGTTACAATTAGAAGACGGTTTGTTGTAAAGGTATATCGAAGATGATAGTAAATCTTAAGTAGCATGACATATGTACGTGTGGAGAATTTTATAGACGTTAATTCGATTGATCGCTTTTGAAGCACTATAACAAACAGATTTATGTTTAAATGCTATGTTACAAAGAGCCACATATTGCGTTGATTTTATATTCTTTGAGTTGTAATATTTGTTGATTTTGTCTCTTTAACAGAATAGATTTATTTAACTATTTTCATATTTATGCTGTACAGTAGTTAGAAAAGAAAATTATATTTTGTATTTGCTTAGATGCTTATTTTAACTAAAACCTAATATAAAGTATTTAAAGATAGTTATATATATTTGATTTAGTGCAATCCTTATAATTTTACAAATACTCGCATCACACCAAACTTTATGCCATTTTATGCATTTTTTTTTTAATTTAGCGCGATACTAAGGGTTGCCAAATTATTGTGTTAACTGTTCAATAAATAAAAAAATGTTTTAATTGCCAATATCATTTAGTCCATTCGGTGCCCAGTGCTCAGAAAAATATTGTATTAAAAATTATTCAACACTTACTGATTATAATATTCTGGAATAAACTAATATAACAATATTTATTTAGTATAAAACTCGGCAACCCTCGTAGTTTATGCATATAATATAAATAACAGTCTAATGTATGTGATAATTTAGACTATTAGGCACAGCTAAAGACTGAAGCTTAAAGAGAAGCTTAGAATTAATATTATTGAAAAAATGCATAATCATAATTTATAGAAGTACTTCTATAAAAAAAAAACTCCTCGTAATAATATGTCTACTAGTTGACTTAACTCTAGTGAATGGATAATAGATTGTGGAAGTTACGGAATACAAAATGATAAGTATTAACTGATAATATAGGTACGACTTGTGAATGTCTAATTGACTTGTGAAACGATTGGTGTTACTACTTATGTATATACATACATATTTAGATTCTTGTTCTACATAATTATATATGTATAAAATAATTTTCAATGTTATCTACTGATACGTGTTGTATTTTGCATCTTATTGTTATAATTTAAAAATTGGAAGAAATTATATGTTTTTTTTTATTAAAAAGTTATGTTTATTCTCTGTTATCGTAACATATGACATTGTTGTTTTCGCAAATAGTTTAACGGTAATGTTTTAAATAAAAATAAAATAAATACCTTCATCCTTAAAGTTGATTTGCAGTATTTGGTGTACATGTTCATGTGAATTATAAAATAATGACTAATTAAGTTCTTTGGGAACCACCACCAAAGTGTATTGTTATTTACACATAGTGTAGATGTATAGGTTATATATTTTATATTGTTTGTTTTGCCAACTCCCTAAGAGAGTGTTTCACTGTAACACTTAAATTTCAGTACACGACTTATTAAGCTTAATACAGTTTTTAAACATGCAAATAATGGTCCATGTTTATGGTATTGTCAATTATAACATGTTAGATTTGGAATCTTGTTGCAATGTGATATGAGCGACTTTAAAATTGAGTTTTACATTGAGTTTCATTAAAGATTGATTAAGATTTGGAACTCTAATGAATGTTTGTATTGGTATTGTCGCTTTAAACCGATGACAATTTTAATGGACCAGTTGTGAAACTTGGTGTTTAGGTTGCAATTGTTATAAGTTGGTTAAAAGGGTGAATTTTCAACGTTTACTTATTCAGTGTGCATTTTCCTGTATTTATAAGTACGTAATCCTATGTGTTATGTGTGATTCATTATTAAATGGACCAATGAAATAAAAGTATCGAATCTACAATGTATTTTATTTATTGCATAATATACAATTTTACAATTGCACACTTAGATTAACAAAGAGTATAGTATCAGACACCATTAGGTATCTATTATTCACCTACATACATTCGTTACGAGTACATAGTCCTGGTGTAATATAAATTACAAAAATCTAGACAACAATCTATTAGAGGCAATGTAGAAACTTTATGTACAATAACTAAACAGGGATTATCCTAGGATTCGAATTGATGTGCAAACTAAATATCCGAAGATTAGACTAAGTAGATGAGTTAAGTAAAAAGCTAATTCAAAGTTCACATTTTTATTCTACGATTTTTGTTAAGAATAAGTAGATACTTATACTCGCTAGTCGGTATTCATAAAAATTATTATTATACCTAGAGCAAGGATACATTATAATGTTTATTATTCAACTATATTTATTTTTACATACTACGTTTTAATAAGGCACTCGGCGCTAAGTAATTTTTCATAAATATTACTTATTACGACATATACATATAAATATTATATTTATCTGCTGTGGTACAATTAGCGTAATATTTGGGCACGGCCAATATGTAATCACTTAATAGGTTATATAATTTTCATCAATTTTGTTAACGTTTCATAACCAAACCAGTTAGTGTGTTGTGCATTCTTACAAATTACTTACGTTAGCGGATATCTTAGACCGCGCTCAAGTTGTCGACGCTGACTGTACCGTCTTATTTTTACTAACGAGGCTCTAGAGGCGAATATAAAGAAGTTATGTTTTAACACGAAAATGAATGCAAAAATTTCTTAACGGTAACAACAAAAAGAGTCCCAAAGTAGGTAGTTTTTAGTTAGACATAAGAGATTTTGTGACCCACGCAAACGGTGATTATTTCAATAAAGTAAACGTGTTTTGTTTTATTTTATTGTTTTAGCCAACCGTTATGTTTGCTCTAAATCCAGAACGCTAATTAGAAATAAATAAACAAAGTCATTTACTTGATCGGAATTAATGAGTATATAGATTCCAGAACGTAATGTTTTTCTTCGTTATCAGACTTATAAAGATGAAAGATTTGTCTGTTTTTTCGATTTCCATAAACTCGGAAAGTACTGGATCGATTGTTAAAAAATCTTTTACTTATTTAACATACATCGTTGTCGGGAGTCGCGGGAAAACGGCTAAAATACAATAAGCTAATATCGAAATAAAATAGTTCCAAAACTATTCACATACTCATAAGCAAAAAAAGTACCTGAAAAATACATTTTCTGATTTATAGGTATCTACATCTATTAGATTTCGGGAACTAATGTTTTTTTTAATCCTTCTTCATTCAGATGTACCTATCATTTGGCTTATGCTGTCGGAGCTCATAAATGATAGTTTTAACTATTTTGATCTAAGAAGCTATGAATGTAATACTTTCTGGAGATGTAACATTAAATTATTGTTTTAGGCTAAAACACGAGTTTACTTCACATCGACGTTAAGCATTTACTATTTTGTGCGTCAAGCGTTTACTATTTGTATTAACAATGAATGTTTAAACAGGTATGGTAATACCTACAACAGAAGCATTTTTGAATGGAGAAATATTTTTTTTTATAAATTGGTCTATTTTATTCTTAATTTTTCGTTTAGTTACTTTAGTAAGCTTTTTATGTTTGCTTATTAAAGTAGCGATCATTTTACAGCGTATGATTTGCGATACTAATTTATAAAAAAAATTATGATTAATGATAATAAATTATCTGGCAGTGATGGATAATAAGTACTATAAAACACTTATGGCAAATATTTAATTAATGCATAAACAGGCATTTTTTTAAAATACGAAATTGTTAATAACATAAATATAATATACACAAATAAAAAATATAATTTATGTCTATTTTTTGTGAGTACCTATATCGCGTGATATTTTCGTTGTGCATATAATTATTGCTATACCTATTTGTAATTAAAAGAACTGTCTCAAATATGCTTGCTTAAAGCGTAATAATAATTTTATTGCTTGCTATTTGTCTCCGTAAACTGCTTGGTCAACTTAATAAAAGTAGCTGCTTATTCTTTTTGATGAAATAAAGTCTTTTTATAAAAAATAGAACCTTAAAATAACAGTTTCATACAAAATTATGCAATAGGCAATAATTCATGTTTTTTTACAAGCCTATAATGATGGGAAAATACGTTTGTATAAATTGGAAACGAATTAAGCTAGAAGAAAGAACACCCCAAAAGGCAATTTAACAATTAGCCAGTATTTAATATATCTCAAGACTTAATTATTTACCCTAAAATATTTTAACTTATAATAAAACTTAAACAACATTAAGCATTTATATTCAATCATCTATATTACATACTGAATGATTCATATTTATCGTAGGTATATTTATTAACTATACGTGCCTTCGGTAAGTCAATGTTACGGTTATCCTAGGTTTTACTATTATATAGTTCTTGACAATTTTTTTAAATTAATCCAATATATCTAATGCTTATATTCATCTACAACAATAATACAATATACCACCTACATATTTTGTAGAAAATTATTCTTGAAACAAATGATAACTTCTTATAAGTAAGTAATATAAGCAATTTTTTTTTTCTTAATTTTGGTATCGTCTATCTTTCTAACAATTCATATACGGTAAATAAAAGAACTTTATCTACTAGTAGATAAAGTTCAACTTTACTCCAAAACCAATTAATAAAACAAAACCCATAATTTGTTTTTTAAAATAGTTAATATAAGAAACATGTGTGAAAAACACAACGTATAAAAGACTTATTTTTTTGTGAAGGAAAAAGGTTATATTTAATAAGCGTTCCTATTGGTACAAATTAATAAAGTTGTCTAATTAAAGTGACAAAAAATAAAAAGGTTGATAGTTCCGCCGCTGTCTTTGTCGCCGCACTCACCTGTCCCTGGACTTTGGAAGGTAATTTTATGGGGATAGTTTTGTTCCGCATCCAGTAGAGCACGTCGGTGAGACCCTGAGCCTCCAATTCCGGTCCCACAGTCGCCCTTATCCTTTCGTTGTAAACGTTCAGCCAGTTTATCTAGTAGATTTAATATGATGTTTATTCTTAATGAAAAATGCTTAAAAATCCACTTTGTCCCTGGCACTCTGAGATGGGACAAGAACCAATGATCTTTCGCAATCCGGACGACTGCTCTAACCACTAAGCTACCTGGACCTAACAGGACTGATAAATTTTTCTAGCACTTTTTACTTTTCGCTACTACATATCGTATTTTCATCAATGTTCAGGCAATCCTAACAGCCGAAAAAAATATTTCTACAATTTTTTTAAACTTTCGATAAAGAAATTGTTTTAATTATTATATTAGATTACTATTATTAGATGACTACAATCTATTATAATCTATCTATTATAATAGATTTTAGTAAATTACAGTACAAAAACTAAACTTCCATATTGTGTCTTCCTTCATACATAATTATCAACATTTTAAAGTGTTTACTACCGTCTTGCAGTAAATTGAGGTAGGACAAGTAACAGCGTTTAAGCTTAACATGGCTTAGATACTTAGTGCCAACAATCGTTTAGAAATTAAAAATATTTATTTTGGAAATAAACCTTACATTGTTTGGGAGTAATTTGTAAAAACCCTTTAATCTTAACCTATCAAAATGTCGAATTTTCAACAACAGTGAAAAGATAGAATTTCAACAGAACGACGGACCATAACCCCCCATTCGAGTATCGTGAGAATTATTGAGTGATAATGGTTCTTGATATTACAGGGACCAACAGCGTAGCATGCCTTCTGAAGTATGGGAGAGCTTGAGATAATAAATATATGGTCAACCATCTTTTCACTAGGCTCTATGGAAGTTGCTTGACCAGTACAATGTTAGACTGAGCTATCGAGCTTACCCTTTTTCTTTTTACTATAATCAATAAGTATTGTGAAGACGTACACGTACTTTCGTGGTGGAAAATTCAAGAAAAACTATTTACATTTCCTATTTTCTTTTTAATTTGATTTTGTTCTATAGTCAGCCATAGATTAATAATTTAGTAATCGTCATTGACGAGACATTAATAATTTAACAATTTACCTCATAATCGGTGAGCAAATTTTTATCAATCAGTTTTGGTTCGTATGGTATCAGTGTTGCTTCTCGGAAGCCGATATACATCATACTCTTGGGAATCACCTCTAGCACGTTGCCCAAACTAACACCGAACTTGGCCTCATACCATCCAGGCTCTGAAAATTTTAATTTTACATTAAGAATGTGATTTAAAAGTGGTCAAATACTGCGGACAGTTCTTGTTTAGTTGGACATACCGCTTGTTATAAAATATCCTTCTCTAAGAGTATGTAGATTAATGTCTTGTCTGTAATCGATTACCACCGGATCTGGAATGATTGAAAAACAATTTCATTAAATTCCACACATTGAATTTTTATAAGCATTTAATAAGAAAACAAGAAAAGACAACGAACAATCATATAAAAATAACAGATTCGAAATAAAGAAGTAATATTTAGTTTATTATTAATTCTAACAGTATTAATGGTCCAGACTCAGTAGTTCGTTATTTCTATTCGATAAAGTATGAGATGACTGTAATGATTTCATTAGCCCATCGATAGCTGACGCCATATCAGTAGTATCGATAGTGCGACACAAGGAAAAATATCGATAGAACTATATACTACAAAAGTATTTTTTCGGTGGACCTTCTCTCCTGTTGAGTGCGGCCCCCACGCCGTGTCCGGTGGGGTGAACGTAGTCTTGTTTGGCGAGCCAGAGCGGCGCGCGGGCGACAGGGTCTAAGTGGGCAGCCGGCAACGACACCGGCGCCTGCAGCGACGCGAGCGCCGCCACCGCCCGCAATACCGTCGTGTAAGCGCGCTTCATCTCACGAGACGGCACGCCGTAGTGTACCGTGCGCGTCACAACCGTCGTACCCTCTGTAGTTTTACCAGCTCATGATCATCGTCAGCCCTTTTACGTCCCCACTGCAGGGGTTCAGGCCTTCGTTATGGATGGTTAAGGAGGACTGGTCGTGACCCACAACGACGACTGTAAATGCAGTCGGGATCAGCAGCTTAACGGGCCTTTCGAAGCATGGGCTAGCTTAAGATAATATTTTTTTTAATCACACATCCCGTGACTGACCCTTGGGAAAGTTGCTTAAAAACAACGATCGCGAGCCGGCGCTCATCCACCGAGCTACTCCAGCTTATATTATATTTATTCGCAGATATTAGACATATTTAGACGGTGAATATATGTGTACAAAATCTCTCCAACTGTGAGCTTGTGTCTGCAATGCATACTGTCTTATTTCGGTCACATAAAACGAAGAGACGATGATAAACTCGAAACACTGATGATTGTTGGTAATATCGAAGTAAAAAGACCACAAGGTTGATCACCAACACGATGGTATAACCAGGTGAAAGTAGTAACATTCCTATCGAGGTGGTGATGGCTACTGCCGGAATCGATGCAGAAAGATTGTGTGGACACATCCTCAGTAATCAGGGACCGACTAGAGAGAAATTATATTTATTGACGATCTGGTTGGTTGGCATTGTTGGCAAATGTATTTTATAGGTTTTTGAAATTATATATAAACATTCGGGTGCGATTTGTAAGAATTGGATAGGTTTGTGCTAGTAATTTATCGTAATCATATCGAATTGTTAAACTAAATATTCAATCTCAAAATCAAATTAAAATTTCAGAGTTTTGAGCGTTATATTAAACACCTAGTTTTTTTATACTTTTTCAAATTGTTATGCATGGGATATAATTGGGAGTTCGTGAAAATCATCTGAGATTTAAAAAAATAGATTATGGCTTAGTGCTCACCGAGGTACTGTCCTCCCGATCGGATAATTAGCGTAGAGTTAGTGAAAACCCGTCGGTTGTTGCGCGGTGTAGCGATGTACTCCGGTTCGTAGCCGCTGGGTCCGAACGCTACCCGAGTGCGCATAGACGCACCCACGAACCCCGCTTGCGTGCCGCGGGTCAACTCAACGCTCTCCGCCACTGATATCTCACTCAAATTCACCTTATTCTAGCAATAACAAAAAATATTTCTGTATTACTATTTTTTTTACTTTTTATTGAGTCGGTTTTTTATTATCTGTTTTTAGAGAAATAAGCATGCGAGAATTTAAGATATTTCACTGTAAGTATAGTCAGCCAAAATTATGGTCTTTCACCTCTATGGTTGAAATTCATTTGAACGTAATGAGGGTCGGTTATCCCTTTTAATAATACGACTATGAGCATTACTTCAAATGTCAGGTATTTCAGATAATAGACAATCTGCCCGTTGTATAACTGTGATTAGTTTCATTTTATCCTATCTGCCTCCTATTATCAATGTCAATCAATCTATGTGATTAAATTTCAAATCTTGTTTTGTTAACTATGTGAAATTCAGTTGCTGTAGGTCAATAACTACAGGTATATTATATTTCTGGAACTCCAGTAATAATGTCATCCATATATTAATAACATTTATTAATATAGAATATGAAAAAGTCGAAAAAAAGACAGTGTTGCAGCATACCTTATTTTGTAAATAACATAGAAGCGTACACATAGCAACTGCGTCCCTCAGATGTGCTTTCTTCATTCCCTTAACTTCAGCTTCGTTTTTCTGAGCTTTGAGGTAGATAATAGGCGAGAGGAGGAACATCTGCTTGTTCAAAGGTACACTTTGTGCTATCGCCGCGGATGCTCCTCGTTGGAAGGTGCCTGAAGCAGGAATCAGGATCTTACTCTCCGTAGCTCTTCGGAGGTCTGAGTAAATGTTGGCGTAGTCGTTCACCCTGCAGACAATAAAACAAAACACAAATGCAGTTGTTTAGCAGCACGTTTAATAATTTACTAAATATAGTAGGTAATACATAATAATATGTATTCAGAAAGAAAACTACCACGAGCGAGTCAAACCCGCGCACAGAGGTTTCCTCAGTTCCTTTTTGAGGTTACACCGAAAACGTTGAAGATTTTTTTAAGGATTCAAGAAATTTCTTCAGAATGTTACTTTCAGATTCCCATTTTGGGAGTAAATAATAGGTACCCTTTTAAATAAAAAGGATACCTCAAAATCGGTTTAAAATTAAGCCTCTCTATTTGAAGTCTGTTAATAACAGCATGAAATTCTTTTGTCCTAGAACTGTTAGTAGATATTTAAAAAATATTTTATACGGTGGAAGACCATGTATAGAGGACTAGGATAGCAGCAAATATGTTTTTAAAGGCGCCAATTTAACTAAAATTCGCTTATTATGATTACCTGGTGCAGTTGTTCGAGTAACAGTTATAGACAGCCAGCGCCTCCCTGACGGGCATCGATAGTTTTCCCGGTGGTGCGTACACTCGTATTTCCCGCTTGCTCACTATCACAAAAGCCTTCAGCAGGGGGGCGTAAGGAAGATCGCGGCCACGCACGTTAAGGAGCCACGCGACTTCATCTAGCGCTGTCACAACCATCGCGTCTGCTCCCACCGCGTGTAATTCGTCTCGTACAGCTGACACTTTGTCACGCCAACTCATTCCTTTTAATTAAATATGATCTATTATTTAAGTATTCAAATGTTATAAAGGTAGTATGGTTATTTGAAAAAAAAAATTTGTTTTTTCATAAATAACTCACCCACATAATCCATGTGATGTAATTTTGCAACAATTTTAGAAAATTCCGGCCGTCGTTTAGCCGGATCGAGTTCTTCGGCCCACAATTTGTCTACAAGTGTGGATACGTCGGTGAGATTCAGCCCTTGCTGCTGCAGTCCTGTTGATAAAGATGTCCACTCTGTGTGTGAAGTAAGACGAGAATCGGCACCAACTCGGTCTCCACGCTTCAGCCTTTCCTATGATATCAATTATTAAAATGCATTAGGCACCAACTTCATGCTTCGTCTATTGAATAGCATAGATAAATGATTATATTACTATTTTTCAGTTAAACTTTTAATAAACAACGCAGAAAATTAACATTGCACCTCTTTAAGGAAGAGCTACGACTACAACCAATTTCACTTTTATTGCATTGTATTAATAGAAACTCAAAGTGTGGAGAACGAAAAATATTTTCTTAATTCTTACTGTGATCCACTCGGCAATCGTTTGCTGGTTGGGATCGTCAGCATCAAACACTTGCCACGCACAGGAGAGTGAGGCTATCGCTCGCTTAACATCAGCCCCAGCAACCCACACTGCTGCTCCAGCATCAGCTATTATAGCCGCTGTGCCTACGCCATCCCAGCCACTCACGTACTCCAGCCGGCGCTCTTCAGCTGACGGCTCTTCGCTCTAGCTCAAGAAAAGTTATCCTGTTTAATTATTAAATCAAGTGGTGCTGTCTAAAAAGTGTATTGGGTTTTGAAAGATTGTAATTGAAATACGTTGTAAATTCGTAATTCCAACTGATTTGTGGACCGGACTACATCTGAAAATTTTGTTGTTTTTTCAGCACTCACCCATACCCATTAGAATATAAGTACAAACATAATTACTTACTAATATGTGTAAACATCGAATAGCTACCTAATTTTCAACATTTTAGTTTTCCTTATTTATTTATTTTATTGCATTTTATAATGTAGTTATTCTGAATCTTACCAAATGTTCATCGGTATAGAAGATAATGTAGGCGTTAAGGGGTTTCATGTGAGTATAAATGGGGTTTCTCATAGCTGCCCTCAGCCTGGCTAGCGGGTTGGTGGTGCTGATGGAGTCCTCGCAAACAGGCGGTAGAGGAGGCTCCTCCGGCACTGTCGTGGTGGTCCACTCTCTCGGTGTTGTCAGTGGCGGCAATGACGTCCTCGCAGTTGATGATGTTGGTGTTATGCGAACGCCGTGACATGCTGTATTAAACAGATCATTTGATTATAAAATAAAGCTTAGAAAATGCGGGTACAAAATATTAAAAGAAGAAATATTTAATTGTTTGTTTGTATGCATTGAACAGATTCTACAACTACTGGACCGATTTTAAAATTGATTTAAGGTAAAGTATAATAGTAAATTATAATTTACCTATGTCATCCCATAGGTAAATTATAATTTACTCGGGCGAAGTTGCGGGAAAATAGAGAATTATTTTATATTATATACATATATCACACTTAGATAACGACTATCGCAAAGTGGTATTTCACATTAGTGAAATGTGTCTAGTAATTATTGGCCGACTGATTTGCATTTTAAATCATATTTTGCTGACTTTTTTCGTTTATTTATTTTAATAATAACTGAAATATATGTTTTAAAAGTAGGTATCCTCATATAGATAATATTGTTTTCTTTAACTTCCAGATGGCAAAATTCGTCAAAATGTAACGTCGCTAAAATGAAATTAAAGTAAAAACTTAAACTATATGTTAAGCCCACAAGTGAGCCAACCGCGTGAAGGATAGGTATATTGTATTTTAAATATACCTATAATACGAAAAACACCCCAACATTTCGATTATATTTTATCATCCATAGTAGTGAGTTGCTTATTAACGATGACGCCTCTCGATAACATGAGAATGGGACAAGGACACAAATACTCACGTCCCTTTCGTGCAGGGGAGTCTAAAAAGTTCACCAGAAGGAGAAAGCGGCTAGCGACAGCGGCGTTTGTGGCGCGGGAATGTACCAGGATTGCATACTTTATTGAGAGCTTTAGTGTGCGAGAGCTTTTCAAAAGCTCGCGAGAGTGAGTAGGATAGCAATGCAGCTGTGCTACCCCTCTCTACATGCAAAATTCCTCTTCGTTTCCCCAACAGGTTTCTCCAACCCAGATCCTTTTTTTCGTTTTATCGGGGGCGTACCTGTTTGAGTATAGTTTTTAAGATAATCATTTATAGCAAAACGCTGTCGTTTAAATTGTGAGGTGCTTTTATAATTAGTATATTTTTTTGTTATTTTTTACTTGTTGCATTTAATGTTATTCTGAAGCATGCTTGTTTTTTATTTTTAACCGACTTCATAATTTTACAAATTTATAGACAATTTGTATAGAGAGCGGTGAGCTTCTGACTCAAGTTCAACGACCGAGAGGTACCCAAGGGATGTGGGATCTATTGGAATGACGTCAACAACTAGCAGGAATCCAGAGACATAAAGGAGCATGATTTTATAGCATACTTATTCCCTTCATTTTCGCATGTACGGGACTCTTCTACGATTCTCGGAAATTGCAGCAATTTGTTACACCGAAATGGACAAAATGACGTCCGTGTATACTAGGATAACATGACCGAAGAGAGTTTTTACGCCTACTATTTCCACCGACATACAAAACACCCGTGCAAACACGCAGCTGTTAATATTATTATTATTCTTATATTGACGGCGATGTAAGTTGTAATTTAGGTATATACAAAAACAACTTCAACCAATTGCAGTCGGGTATTTTCTTTCATATAACTTGGAATCCGGGAAAAACAAAATAAAAACTTTAATTTCACGACAGTGCCCTTTAACGACGGGCAACTAACTTACTCCCAAAGGGACAAATTATCCTGCGAAGTACTAGGATGTCATATTCGATGAAGAAGTATAGAATGACGCATCGTCCTGAGCAAGGATATTCAAGGATAGCAGGCAATGACCAGCGCAGGCCGTTCACTCGGTCGTGTCCGCGATATGCACTGTTACCGTCATCACTTATGCATTTATTATTGCATGTTCTGCAAAACAGACAGTGTAGGTGACTCAAAACCAATTCATTAATGTAAAAAATCTCAAAAAAATATTAAGGAGTTGACATCGAGATCCAATACATTTCGATCTCAATAGAAAAATTATTATTATTTAAAATTATTTGAACAAAAAAATTGATTTCATACGAGTTTGGTAAATTAAATTGACGGCTATGAGGAGGTATAGTAAGACCCTGTACCAGAACTGGAAATTCCAGGTTCGAGTCCTTGTGGAGGTTTGATTAATCAATCGTTGTAGTTACCATCTTTATTAATTTTAATTTGAAAATAATTCTTTTATTCAAATATTTAATCTTCTATCCATGTATATTTTCACACCGTTTTTGTTCTAGTTGTGATAGCTATTAAAAAACAGATTTATACATCTGTAACTCAACAGCACGTCAGATTATATAAAAATATCAATTTGCTCCACTTGATTGAACTGCAGAGGCATATTATGAAAACCTGGTATGTTGCGGTGTGTGTATTTTGTAGGTATTATTAGTAAGACAACGACCAATTTTACTATGTGGTTAACCTCAACCGATTGGATAAAACTATGCGAGGCTGTAAAAAAACAGCGTCGAAGTCATCTTCGAACATAGCACTGTGACAGCACACACAGTTTCAATGAAATAAAACCTTTATTACCTTCCTCCTAAAGTATGTTTTATTTGATTAAACCACCTTTGTTATGACCAGTAGGTGAACCTGATTCTGAAATACTCTGTTCTACCCGGTCCTTCAGCCTATTTGTAGAACCTAAAGGTCCCAGAAGTACGGTGCTTGGTTCCCCAGTTCGTTTAAAAACTTTGACATTCAAAGTTTTTTACTTACTTTGTTTGTTTTTATATTCGTTATATTCACGTCACACAACGAGTAATTCGTCGGTCTCCTTAAATCCGTCCCAGAAAATTCACATCGAGAATTGACATCATAATTGTTTACATGATGAAACTGGTTCCTGCGTACGCTTTCTGCTTTTTGTGCAATGTTTGCTAAACGGATCCTACGAACTCAATTCTGCTAATGTTAATCGCGTCTCAATTAATAGCATTTTCTTCTTTATTACTTCAAAATTGAAAAAGAGGAAGGTTCTATGATCGACAGCGATGTGTTGCTGGTATGTATGTTACCGATTTATCTGTGCATGTTAAACCGATTCTCAAAATTCATTTTTTATTAGATAGCTTATGGACCTGAGGTAATCCCATATAAATTTGTTAAAGTCGAGCTAGTAGTAATTAGTAGTACTAAGACTAAGTTTGCGAATAAATTTTTGACTTTGACTTTAGTTTTGTTTTTATAACAAAATACTTCATTAAATAACAAAAAATACTTAGACAACATGTTTATATCAGCGAAAAATCGAAAGATAGCGTATTTTGATTATTATTATTTTTAAGTGACTTCATAATCGGAGAAGGATTTCAATGCTAAATATAGCGGTTTAATACTTCAATAGAAGTTTCTTGAATAATTAAATCGCTTTTAAAAAGAGTACATACATATTATTTCTTTCTCTTTTTAAATTTTGTATATTCTTTCGAGTACAAGTAATTAATTTATTTTATCTAGTTATTTATATACATATATAAAAAAGAGATGTCCTGACATACTGACTGACACACAACGCACAGTCTAAAGCACTGATCTTAGAGACTTGAAACTTGGAGGGTACATTCGTCTTATTACGTGGAGGTGTACTAAGAACGGACTGTTGAAAATTTCACCCCGAAGGGGGTTAAAAAGAATGAAAACGTTTGTATGAAACCTCTTTGTTTTTGGATCTATATCAATGAAAATTGGTATTTGAGTAGTTTAAGACTCTGCGAAGGCAATAGGTTATATTTTATCTCGAAAACCAGCACTTAGAGGGGTAAAAACGGGAGTGGAAGTTATTATGAAAGTTAAAAAATGTTACCACAGCAACCATTGTTTCTAATTCGATTTGTCATTGTAATAAATCTAGCTAACATTATTTGTGAAGATTTTCGTCTATAATTATGAAAATTGCCAATGATATTACAATAAAAAGGGTAAATATGTCATATCAGATTCAGTACCAATACGATGTCAAAAATTGTTCCCAGCATATATACACCACACCCACATGACACAATACTCGCCAATTATTCATAGACTTCATTGAACATGTCACTGACCAGACGTATAATGATTTAACGCAGTTAATGGCTACTTTAACATAAACTTAAACCTCACTATCAATTTATAATCGAAAAAAACCGTTCCGAGTTTAAAAGTAGACCATGCAAATGTGATAAATATTGTTTTTAGTTTATTTATTTGGGTAACTGTCGGGTTATCTCTTTTTATATGACGTAACGAAGCACAAGGAGAATCGTTTAATTATTCCATACTAATATTAAACATGCAAAAGTAAATCTGTGTTTAAATTATTTTATGCTCTCACGTCAAAACCACTAACCCGAGTTGTCTTGAGATTATTACTTTTATTGTAACAAAAAGGTTGAAATAGGGAAAAAGGTATGGATGTTCGTCATTGTCCAAGATACAATCATGAAACTTTATTTATTTCTTTTAGAGTTTTTGGAAATGTAGCACAAAATAACTATACCGCACGGACGAAGTCGTTGGCAAAAGCGAATCTTATATATTCGAAAATACTATTATTGTAACACCAAGTGAATGAAAGATAAAAATAAAAACCATCAGCCCCAGATACTCGAAACAATGACTTTTCCACTGAGCTGTTGGATTTTTTAAAGCATTTTTCACTAAGAACATTTACCAGTATATCATTATAATTTCATAATTGATATAATATTATAATAAGTATCTTTTTATTATGATTCGTCCTGAGAGGTACAGCTGAATAGCCTTTTCTGTTCTGTGGATGATCTCTTAAGCAAAATCCAAGTCTTTTTTGTGTTACTATTACCTAGTAAAGCTATATGGAAAAATAAACCGTGAGCACACCGTGTGCGAGTCAACAGCATTCTTCCTGCGAACGCTTTTTTTAATTGGTTGTACAATATTTATAATTTGTTTTTCACTATGACAGGGAACATAAACCCGAGATAGTATATTCATACTTTTCACCATTTTGTTTCCTTCATTAAAACCACCGTATAATAAAACTCCTACACATTAAATGATTGTGCGTACATTGCATTGCAACCTTTTAC